TATTATTTGTCAATCAGTTGAATCAGTTATGATAAGGGTTTACTCACCAAAGCCATTGGCGAAATAGGGGAAGTCAACGACATAGCTTCAACAAATGACAAGAAAGGAGCGGTCAGACCATTTGACAGGTTTTGAATGAGTAAGAATACATTATCAAACCATGGCAAGTACAGTAGGTCATAGTTGAACTAGCAAATAAGTCTGTAGGCTTGTTCAATCAGTTTAATTTCTAAGATCATAATTTTTTTTTATTATATGCATAATGGCCAATGGTAAATTATCATACTTTGTACTAAAGAAAAGTGCACATACACAGGTTTAAATTGAACATTTAACTACACTGTACTGTATATGCTGACATGTACTTCCTTTAAAACGTTTTTTATAGCAGTTTTGAATTTTATCTTGAAAATAGTCTTACTTTGACTTAAAATGTGTTGCATGTTTCTATGTTCACATCATTATTGACTTTTGATTTCTCTCCATCTCTCCTCAGCCAGCTGCGCGACTCAAAGACAAAGCCGACCAGAAGAAGTAGAGTGCATAGACAGCTTTATTAGATGTTGTGTCAAAAACATTGTCCAGAACTTGTTAGAATGTAATTTATTTAGTGTGATTATTTATTGCTTATGACTGTATGAGTATGATTGAGTGTTGGACTATTGTGAACTATGGAAAAAGTGCGGTTTGGTTTTATTTATTTACTGCTGTTATAGGTCAGAGAAAAGCTCCTCATCTCTCTCTGGGATGGGATTTGTTCACAAATAAAGTGTCTCAGTGTTATATGAAAGAGTTATTTATTTATGCATCTATGCCTCTGAATTGTGTGTTTACATTCCCATCTGTGGAGGCATCCCATACCTCTGCAGTCTGCTCACACAAACACCTCGGCCTTTTAGCCAAACACAGATCAGTAGACAGGAATAACCCTGAGAGAAGCTCAATGTAACATCAGGGAGGAATTCAGATTTCAGAATTCAGAGAGCAACCAAAATCATGTCAAGTATTTATGTGTGTGTGTGTGTGTGTGTGTGTGTGTGTGTGTGTGTGTGTGTGTGTGTGTGTGTGTGTGTGTGTGTGTGTGTGTGTGTGTGTGTGTGTGTGTGTGTGTGTGTGTGTGTGTGTGTGTGTGTGTGTGTGTGTGTGTGTGTGTGTGTGTGCGCGCACTTTTCAACTCATTAACCGTTGTGTTGCCATAGCACTGAAGTGTTTTTAACAGCGGAGTAACGCCTAAAGCTTTGTGAATGGGTCGACAACAGACAGGTGCACTGGGACAAGAAGCGGGGGCGTGTTCAGTCTGATCTATTTTGAGATATTTCCAGGTAGCTTGGAAGTTATCTCCTATCGCATATACAAACACATACTTGAACATAATTAGATGTTTCACGTCAGGACAAAGGAGCCTAGAATAGCCTGAGCAAAAAGAGGGCGACACAGTTCCACACAAAGACAAGTGTTGAAGTGCAGCTCAGAGTTAGTTAGTTGAAAAAGGCTATAGCTACCAGAACAAAAATAATAAGATGTTTAGATGGTTTAGCCAAACGTTACTACTTGCACTGCATTGGCTTCTCTTTTCAGCCATGGAGGTTGCAGCTTGAAAAAAGTCGTGTTTACTGTGTTGCTCAGCAAAATACATTGTACATTCTTGAGGTCTAACAAACGTGTTGACTAAATGTCCTTCCTCACATTTTTCAATGGAGATTATTTTTAAGGTTCAAAACCTAAATAGCTTACATCCATGTTTAGTGGCAATTTTCTCCTTTTTGCTGGTACCTAGCATCTTGGCTTTGTCCCGCAACTTAAGATATCAATTAAACTCAGTTAATCAATAAACATATAAAGCAAGTAGCTAGTTTCTCTTTGTGCTAAGCTAAGCTAACTAGCTGCTTCATTCCTAACAAGTGTTCAACATCTTCTCAACAACCAACTTTATGCCAAAAAGTTTGTTTAAAATAACTTATTGTTCAGGTTTTTTTATCCCTGTTTTTAGACATATGTCTATTTCTGTAAATGATCAGTCACATTTCTTCTATGTGTTCTTACTTACCAGTAGAACTGATTCTAAATATCTGAACCTAGCCTCCGATTATAAAAAGATACAAGGCAGAGATTAGCATATACATATGACTATGACTCACCTGCCAGGATAAAACAGTTTCTAGTCACCTTTATAAAACAAGGTTTCACTAAGTGTTTGTGTGGCGTTGCGTCACTAGTGATGAGGGAAAAGGTGAGGCAAGGTGGGCAGCCCATCCTGGTGATGCAAGCAGAGGTAAACAATTACTGTGTGCGTGTGTGTGTGACAGTTAACTCTATCACAGAAATTGCTATCCAAACACATCAAAAACATACATAAACACGTTGGTATTCATCCACTTGACAAAATAAGTTGATAAGGGCGTGGTGAGCTTTGATAGTTTTGTCGGCAGTGAGGTGGGCCCTGAGCTTTTGTTGGTGGCCATGGAAACAGAGTAAACAAACGGGCAGATGGTTGGTCAGCGATAATTCACTTCAAATAAAGACCAACTGGAAATTCATGGGTGTGGTAACGTATTTTTCCCCTTAAACCCGAGCCTGTTTTTCAGGTTTCAGGCTCGAAAATGACATTCCCAGAACAAATGACCATATCTTCCCTTCTAAAAGGGTTACATTAATAATCTTTTTTCTCAAAGTAATGATAAACCTGTGAGTTGGATGTAGAAGAGTCAGATTCAATATAGATGTTTTTTATTTTAAAGAAAATTCAGATTGAACATGGTAAAAAACTGTAAATTATAGTGTCCGTCCAAAATATATTTTTTACTTATAGTGAAAACTAACCTTGGATGATGGGTTAGTAGACTAAAAGTTTTAGGAATCCAAAGTACAACATATAATAAGTACCCTGTATCAAGATTGATGCAAAACAAGTGATATTTGACCTTTTTAGACAGATTTAGCACAAAAAAAACTCTTCTGGGGCCATTTGGGTGGATTTTCAATATCTCTGGCCCCCCTTGCTGGATTTTGACATGTGACATATCTTTCTGACCGTCGGAGCCAATGGAATCGAGGGGAACTCCCACATAGTTCTTATTTGGTAATGTGTGTGTGTGAGACTGCCGCATAGCCTAGACCGGAAGCAGCAGCCACTCTGGTCGCTACCATTAGCAGCTAACATTTGCTCTCCGATTTTTACATAAAAATGGAATTATGGATTATAAATTAAATCATTTTTGTATACAGAGACGTTAAAAACCTATGGATTAACCGATTCAGCTGTGTACTTTCTGGTTTTAATGCCATTGAACACGTCTTTTGATCAGATTGACAGCTACGGTGAGACGATCTCCCTAGAAGCTCCGTAAAAGGTACGTGTTGTGATGTCTGTATTTGCTTCCCCTGTCGCGAGTCCGGATCACTCAGTGATGATACTATATACCTAAATAATCTGTGGAACCTCAGCTTTAATCGGATATATTGTATGTGCAGCTACGATAAGTAATAAGGGTACTTTTATCTTGAGTTCTGTGCCAATGTCCGTTAGCATTTTTCGCTAAGGGGTCATTTAGATGCTTCTTATGAGACTTGTGTTTTGTTTTGGTAAAAATGGTTTGTATCGTCAATTAGCTGAGATTATTTCCGTTAATCTGGTATAATACATTAATAGGTTCTTAAATATTAAGATCCCCTGAGACACAGTGTCGTGAAAAAAAACAGGGTCCCCGCCGACGGGGACCTTGAGGTTTAACAGGTTTTAAGCTTTACAAGAGAAGGTCAGTTGCCAAGGCGAGAACTTTTTATTTCTTCTGTTGTTTCTTTGACTTCCTGCACTGAAATTAATTCAGTCATGCTTGCAATGTGGCTCCTTGGTGGGCAAAGTCAGTCGGCCCGACAATTTGTTAGAAACTGAAATATCCTCACAACTATTGGATCAATGTCCATTAAATTAGCTTCAGACATTCATGGAGCCCAGAGGATGAATCCAAATGATGATCCTCTGACTTTCTGAACTATTTCATGGATTGCTCTGAAATTTGGAATACACATTCTTGTGTTTTTCTCAGGATGAAATATAACAATTTTCCTCTGGCATCTTTATCAGTTTAATTTGAATTAGTTTAAAACTTTGGTTTATAACCAAATATCAGCGAAGCTTTAGTTTCATTCGCTAGATTGTACTTAGTGCAATTAAGCACATGTCAGCATGTTAACACGATACAATAAAATGTCTTTGCATTTGTATGCTTATTAATTACTTTTCAGTCATTTTAAAATGATCTAAAAAAAAACGTTATTGTTAATGTGGTTGTACTAAATGCAACCACGGATGTGTATTGCCTTTAACTTTTTGCATCAGTTTTGTATCAATTGTAAGTTAGATACTAGATTTAACCATTTCCACTGAACTGTTGTAAAGACTAGCATGACTGCATCACTAAATGCAGTAGAGAGCACCACCTGGTGATGAAAACTGAGCGTCAGTGCAACATTTACAGTCATTCGCAGGTCATAACGGCCGGGTGTATGACTCTGCTGATTTGTGTGTGAAACGATAAACCCACAAGAATTTAGGGGAGCACATAATGATTTCAGCCCACAGCAATAAAAGAGAACAACAGTGTTTAAGATAAGAAAGACAAAGAAGCTGATGATCAATCCTTTCGAAATATGACTGTGCACACTTTGATTACCACAGCAAATATTTCCTTTTGCTGGATGTGGACATATTTATTATGTGTTCACTGCATTTGAATGAAGGCATGTTGCAAGACTCATGCACCCTTTTTTGAACGTTTCCTGTGGGGGTCTTAAGATACGCTGTGTGAATTTGTCTCTTGTGGTGTGGTCTAAGTAAGTGCACCATCAGCAGAGGCTTTTTTTTCTTTATAGTTAAGAACTCCATGTTCTCTGCATTGACATTACTGTAATTGTCTCATGCAGGAAGCGTTTCGGCATTATGACAGACAACCTCAAGAGCAGCAAGAGAGAAAAACACAAACATGTGCTGTCATGCTTACTGAAACATCAACATTTTTTTTATTTAGACAAAGAGCTCACACAACCTGAGAACAGAGAACTGAAACACAAATCTTTGATGCCATGAACGTGTGAAACTACAGGAGCTTCTGTAATGGAAACCTATTATAATAGTAATACAAAATTACGAATATGTTGCACCGTTGGAGGAGCCTGTGACCTAAGATTTTCATTGACATACTGTAGCTATGTACAAATGACAATAAAAGCCTTGAATCTCAATCTTGATCTTGAAAATAAGAAAGAAAGATATATGGATGTCTAAGAATAAATATAATTGGTTTTGTGTTTTCATGCAGTTGTAATGACGAGGAAAAAAAGGGACATGCCTGAGAATCAACCTAATTATAAAATATATCCATATGACTTGAGTTATAATCTATTTAAGCTTCTGAATCTGTCTGGTTGGCGGATTGCTTTGGAGTTTTGCTTTCCCCTGAAGAAAATATAGCGCTTTTCTACATTGATTTAGAAAAATCCCTCAAGAAAACATATAATGTACATTTATTCCTTTTACAGTAAGGAGGATAACGTAGCATACTATTAGCACATAAATAGACATTAACGAACTGGGCTGATTATATTTCAGACTTTTTCATTGTCTTCTTGATCCAGATTATTTGTTTTTCTGAGAGAAAAGAGTACACACCCGGGTATTTTTTCATGCCACAATTCTTTCCAAAAGAAGTGACACCAACCAGGGCTCCATTGCACAACAGTGGGCCTCCTGAATCCCCCTGGAGAGATAATAAATATACAACATTACATATTAAGACACATACGCATGAGTTAAGGGGTGACAGGCAGTTTATTTCCTTTACAAAAAAATCGAAATGCACTCACCCCACAGGTATCAGCCACCTCTTTCACGACTGAACCAGCACATATGTGGCCCCTGGTGATAAAAGGCTTCAGGTTGTAATGCTTAGGAGAGTTGCACTCCATTCTATCGATCACGGTCACATTGACAGACCTCAGGACATCTGAAACAGTCTTGGCGATGTTGTTTGTTTTTCCCCATCCAGCCACCAGACAGCTGGTGCCAGCTCCTGGATATTTGATGGTGTCCCCCAACGGGAGACATTTCACCGTCTTGGTTTGCTTCACCGGTTTGTCAAGCTGAGATAAAAAAAAAAGGTTTGATGCTGACCACCTGTATGTTGTCTTTCAGAAATGTAAGGCTTATGAAATGAATGCTCTTTGTCTTTCTTTTTTTAATGTTTTGTACCATTTCCCTACGTTGGTGTCATTGTACTTATAGCAACCTATTAAAGCTTGAAAATGATTCCACTTTCACTAAATATACTTCCTTCAAGTTAAAACAAGTTGTATTGCACTTGGTTAGACAGATAAAACAAACAAGACAGGCTCTCCTGCCTTGCCAAACCAAAAAGCATATATTAAGTTCAACGAAATATGCTCCTGAATCATCTTTAACTGTTTCCTAGATTGCATATTTTGCACCTTTGCTTCAACTTGGTTACTTGTGATTACAATTTACCTTGAGCAGCATGAGGTCATTGATGTGTTCTGTTGTATCATAGCAGGGATGAGGAAAACTTTTCACTTTGCGGACCTGCCTGGAATCTTTTACATCTCCTTTGATTGAGTGCACTCCCAGAATCACTTTTGTAAAGCTGCGAAAGCAGAAAACAGAGTTTACAATCCATTTTAAAATGTATCTTCGATAGCGCTAAATTCATACTTGCTTTTATAAATCTGCTTTTGCATCCAATACTTGGGCAATCCTATTCTCACAACCTTTCAGTCTCTGTCTTGAAGTACGTTGTTTACGTCTGTGTTGGACTCATGTGTCTGTTATTTGTGGGTGTTCAAGAGTTGCTATCAGAAATGGAAAATGAACCTCAGTGCAAACAGTAGTTTCCTTTTTCTTTTCTTTTTTTACCATGAATAGTATTTCAGGTTAACTTTGACTGTTTTACCAAAGTGCAGAATCATTTCTTCATTGAGATGAAAATGATTATAATATTATATAAAACATATATCATCAGTATAGGTTATACAATAGTTTTAGTGTATAGGAATGTTTGTATCATGCTCTTACTTTTTACAGTGGGCAGCAGTCAGGACCCATTTTGGATGGATCAGTGTCCCTCCACAGTACGGAGGCTGCATCAGAGCCATGAAAGGCAGAGAGTGGGGAGCCACTTCTTTCCCTCCAATAATCTCAGAACCATGACCTTAAACAGAACAATAATTCAATAAGAACAGTTCAATAATTTTGAAAAAAGTGTAGAAATGAATCAATAAATGGTAAACCAAATAAATTGCAACACTCTGCCTCAGCTGCACTGTAATATTGAAAGTAACGCATTACTTACTATGCATTCTGCATGCTTACATGAGTGAGGTAGATATCACAAAGTAAATGCCTGCAATACAAATAATGTTTTACTCACATGATTGGACAATGAGAAGGACCACACACGAGATAAAAACAATGAAATCCCTTGGGCACAACATTTTCCTTATCTCTCTCTGATGTGACGGTGAATGCTCTTCAACATTACCTTGAAGCAAACACTCGTATTTATGTGTTGCAGTTGAAGGATGTGGTCTGACCTTGGAAATGCATGAGTCAGCAGAATGGACGCAAGCAAGACATGAGAATTGGTGTGTTCGGTCTTCATTTAGAAGCCTGTGGTAACAGTTTTGTCATTTCCCACTCATCATTAGCATGTGACAGTCTGCATGGTGGAGGCTTTTTATTTATGTGAAGCAGGTCACATCATCAGGGTGATGTTCACGATGTGGGACCACCGCATCAGCTAAAACTGGAGGCTGTTGTCAAGCGTTTCAGCTACAGTGATGAGTGTGTGTTAAAAATGATTCAAAGGAATTCATCAGAAAGTGGAATATGTTGTCTAAAGTGACACTAAAGACACATGATCAATAAGACATAACTCAGAGGAGGAGTTAACTATAAAAATAATTGGATGCCTATTTTTTGCAACCTTAAAGCATAATTCAGTAATTCACTTAATGTCTTTCTTGTCGCGAGTTAGATTAGAATACAGAAGCCCTTTTTGTATCAACATTAAATACTGTAAGCTACAGCTGGTTAGTTAGCACAAACTATGAGACTAGAAAATAAATACTGTATCCTGGCTTTGTCTCAAGGTAACAAAGTCTACTATACTATACTTTCTGTATCTGACCGAAACATGGCAAAAACCCCTGGACTATTTTTCTTTAAATCAAATCACCCCAGCAGGATTCACATACACTGTCAGAAATAAAGGTACAGTACAGGTACATTTTTGTTCTTTAAGGTACAAAATATACAAATGTACCCTTAAAGGTACACTCATGCTCCTGTATGGTACTAATAAGTACCCTTTTCAAGTAAAAGGTACGCATTACATATGTATTGCGGAAAAGGTACATAAGTGTACCCTTCACATAGTGAATGCCTATAGCCTGCAGTGGCTCTGCTCACTTTATTAAGTTTTAATATTTGTTCAGGGTTGAAAGTAACCATGTAGATCACCAATAAGTGGACAGTTTATCAAAAATAACGGGCTGTTTGTAATTTTTTCAGGTATTTGAACGTATTGAACGGTTTAAAAATATTATTATTATATATATTTTTTTTTTTGTTTTTTTTGTTTTACAAGTAGGCTATTTCACTAATTTCATGAATGATATGTGATAATAAACTTGGTTTAATTTAATTTTAATTATTATTGCTGTGCTTCGCTGAGAAATAGACGTTAATGTTACACAACACCTGATTGGTTAAGAGAGGGAGATAATCTAACGGTCATATTTGGCCAGATTGAAAGACTCCGTTTTTTCAAAAGACCTCGGTGTTACATGTAACATGGCGAACAGTGGGACAACTTCTGCCTTGACCTGTCTATCCACTAGTGATATTATCACCAAGGTAGTAGAATATGGGATAGAAGTAACTGAACTGGAAGCTAGGAAATTCAGAGGTAAGTGAACTTTACCTTCATTCATGACTGGTCAAGTAGCTAACATTTAGCTAACTAAGGCTAATGCCTTTCATGAAAAGACCGGGGAGATGGTATCTAACGCTAGTCCCTGGATAACAACAAAATACTGCCGGTTAAATGTTTTTGAATGTATTGGTCATAACGCAACCGTGTGTGAAGCTAACTAACGTTACCTAGCTAACTGAATATAGTTAGCCTAGCTAGCAGAGCGCCGACGCTAGCCATTACGTTATTTCAAAGACAATGTACATACAGTGAGCGCGCGATGGAGGCGTTGTGTCAGTTGTCTGGCTACTTTGCTGGATGGGTGATTAGCATGGTGGCTTTCACTAAAGCTCACTGACACGGGGCTATTGACCAACATGAATCTGTTCATTGTGGAAAAGGCACTCATATTTATTTTCTTCTGCTTAAATAAAGGAGAGATTCTTCATTTCCAAGACAACGTTAGTTAGCCGTAGCTCAAGATTAGCTACATATGTGCTAGTGTAGTGATTGCTTGACATGAGCACATGCAGACATGTAACGTTATGCGGGAAGCAGCCGTGTGCGAAGCTACCTATGAAATGCCCCTTCACACCAACGCAGCTCCCGTTCTAGCTCCGTGCTTGCTCTTCTGATTCGAAACCGGTTTTTCTTCCCCCCCTTTTTGTTCACACCGCCCAGAGCCCGACTGGTGCTGCCGCTGCTGCGTCATGACGTTACCGTTTACGTAGCTGATTTTCTCCCCAACGGTGCTCACAACAACAATGGGTGACTGCGTTGGGTCGATGATCCTGTTACTTTTAATCATACGAAGCCAGATTAAATTAAATAACTACTTCTCCAACCTTGCACTTTTCTCCAGAGTGCCGTGGTTCATTGTTTATTAATGTAGTTCATTCTACTTGTGATGGTCGGACATGGCAACCTGTGCAGCCCATGTATTGATTCCATCCGATAGCTGCTATAATACAAAACAAAACGTCTGCCTGCTCTCCACAATGATCAATAACAGCGAACGGATGGTCAAAGTAAGGAACAAATAAACAGAATCACACGAAGCCTGGTTAGTGTTGCCTGACTTTATAAAGTGTGTTTTTTTTTAATAAGTGTGTGGTTGCGTTCTAGTCACTTTGCTCAGCGCTACTGCTTGTTACAACTTGTATTTGCCATACTTAAACTGTTAGCTCAGGTTAATCTCACCCCACTCCTACGTAAACGTGAAGTATGCGGTTCTTGCTTTTAGACCAACGCTTTTCAGGCTCTAGCTCCGAACCGGTGTTGCAGTATAACGTGAGTCATGACAACTGGCGACATTCTATTATTTTCGTCATAGGAATCGGGGGCGTGTACATTGAGGACCCATTGTTGACTTACCATGTCGATCGCCTCGTTTACGTTCATCTTTTGCTATATCTGCCTTCCTAAGATCACTTTGATGCACATTCAGTACTCGTATGTGAGGTTGTGGGTGAGAGGTGGATATCGTGACGCTTACAGGGAGGTATCGAACATTACAAAGTAGGTGACTGTGTGGATGCCTGTTCAAAATATTGCAAACTTGAATAAATCATTTAAATTATATATTTGTGTCCGACTTTCATTTGTACATCGTTATTAATGTGATCTATAGTAGCTTTGATAGCTGCCCATACCTTCAGACAGCCTAAAAGTAAAACACAAGTCGTTTATTCACAGCCCGAACGCTCATCGACATGACTGGATCACTCATGACAAGTTGTGATCAGCTCCGAATAAATTGTGATATAAATGCTGTAGCTATTCTCCAGGTAGCCCGTTTTTTTAATGAAATACCTGTATCCCTCTCATCACAACACGACTCTACACTGTGCAGGAAAAACAATTACATACATGAAAATAACCTTGATGCATGGGAATGAAACACACAAACTATCTTCCGTGGCTATACTGATGTCACAGTAACGGTCAACCACAGAAACGTAAGTCCAGCGGGGCACAAGTTGAATACATATAAAACATTTGTACATCGTTCTTAATGTGATGTATAGTAGCTTTGATAGCTGTCCATACCTTCAGACAGCCTAAAAGTAAAACACAAGTTGTTTATTCACAGCCCGAATGCAGCATCGAGATGACTGGATCATCTGCAGTGTTGGGCAAATTACTTCCAAAATGTAATACAGTACATTACTTATTACTGTCTTTTTTAAGTAATAGGCTACGTTACATTACAATATTACTGTCTGAAATGTAATGATCTACACTACTTTTATATTAGCCTACTTTTGATCACAAATACATGGATTCTGAGATTGAAGCTCAAGCCGGTGACCAGTGAGATTGTTCTAACAATTTACAATAAATGTTATTCTGAAACATAACTATCACTGTTGTCTTTCCTTCTATAAATGAAGCGAAAAATATGTCAAGCTGGCGCTTAGCCCTCCAAAAAGTGCATGATTGCAACTTAGACAGTTAAACATTTTATATCAGTGGGTCCTCATGGTGCAACACGGAAGGCAGACAGAATTGCTTAGACACAGGTGTCACATGAACTTGAAATGTTCTGGAAAGTTCCTTATACAGCTTTAGCCTTTTTTATCTCATGAAGTCCCTCAGTGACACACACTGAACAGTCTGGTGGGTTATGGTCCTTGTCATTTGCTTTTGTGTTCCCATAACAACATGTCCAAGATGTCCATGTGCCAGGCTAACACATGTGACAGAACTAGCTACATTTGGAAAGGTTTTTTGTTGCTAAAGTTAACATTCAAGCCATTTAAGAATAAAAATGCTTACATGACATGTTCATTTGTTAAACATTAAGCTGTCTTCGGCTCTTTTCTGATTCTGATTACATATAACCTGTTGTAGAAACATTTATTGATGAAATTGATATGAAACAAATGCCATAAATATTGCTGTGACACTGATGTCACATCGGGACATTAACCCTAAACATTCACAGTAAACCCGGAGTGACATATATGCACAATTACAAATACGATTATGATCTGCTCAGTTAATTTAGCTGATTCAATTATATTTAGTTAACATATTCTTTATTATTCAATTTAAAGTATGTTCAAACAAATGGAAAACCAAAAAATCATCCTCATTCATGAAGTTATAAATAAGAGTTACTTTACCATTAAAGCCCAATGTGACACATATGTCACATTTCAGATATTTGACACTAGGGGGGGTTACTTGTCAGAAATGTGTTCTAGGTCTATTTAGTCTAAATGACGTTCCCCTTAATTTCCCCAAAAGTAGAAATGGGTCGGGGTTTTTAGGGTTAAACGTATAGGCTTAAAGGCATAATAGAACTACTGTATTATATGTATTCAACGTGTGCCCCGCTGGACTTACTTTTCTGTAGTTTACCGTTCTGTGACATATCAGTATAGCCACGGAAGATAGTTTGTGTGTTTCATTCCCATGCATCAAGGTTATTTTCATGTATGTAATTGTTTTTCCTGCACAGTGTAGAGTCGTGTTGTGATGAGAGGGATACAGGTATTTCATTAAAAAAACGGGCTACCTGGAGAATAGCTACAGCATTTATATCACAATTTATTCGGAGCTGATCACAACTTGTCATGAGTGATCCAGTCATGTCGATGAGCGTTCGGGCTGTGAATAAACGACTTGTGTTTTACTTTTAGGCTGTCTGAAGGTATGGGCAGCTATCAAAGCTACTATAGATCACATTAATAACGATGTACAAATGAAAGTCGGACACAAATATATAATTTAAATGATTTATTCAAGTTTGCAATATTTTGAACAGGCATCCACACAGTCACCTACTTTGTAATGTTCGATACCTCCCTGTAAGCATCACGATATCCACCTCTCACCCACAACCTCACATACGAGTACTGAATGTGCATCAAAGTGATCTTAGGAAGGCAGATATAGCAAAAGATGAACGTAAACGACAAACGAGGCGATCGACATGGTAAGTCAACAATGGGTCCTCAATGTACACGCCCCCGATTCCTATGACGAAAATAATAGAATGTCGCCAGTTGTCATGACTCACGTTATACTGCAACACCGGCCCTGGAACCGCATTGGTGTGAAAGGGGCATTAGCTAGCCATCCATGTAGCTAGCAGAGTGTTAGCCATAGCTTACAGCTGTGCTGAGCAGACTGGGACTAAAAATCAGCCCGGGAAACTTGGCTATTATCAACTCAAATGTATTGCTAACCTGACTAGAACTGGAACTGCTAACAATGAGATTGGATTTGACTTGAATGTGGAACGACATAATGTCAGCATGGATTAGGAATGATTACATTCTGAAAAGTATTTTGAGATTTGCTAACATAATTTGTGTCTTCAGATAATGATGTGGACGGGGAAGCAATTTCCTATGGCCTGACCGAGACGATGGTCCCATACCTCTTTGAAGGTTCCTTCAAAAAGCAAGCAAAATTCCTACAATTTGCACGCCAGCTGAAGGAGCCAGAGCCATCTACAACGCTGACTTTTGAGATCTTGCCAAATGACTGTCTTTCTCCAACATGGCAAGTGTGACATTACCTTGTTGAACGCTCAATACTAACCAACTGCTTTTATTTTTTACGATAACTTTTGTTGTAGCTTTCATGTCTTAGCTTTACTTCTATGTATTAACTAATCAGGGGGGAAATGGTTGACACTTTCATTAGAATACAAATATCAGTCATGGGAAGCAGGAACATGTGTTTACAATGACACGGGAGTGTGTGATTGAATGGGAAGGGGTATTGATTACATGGATGATCAAATATCACTCACACATAGCGATAATGTGATTAAATATAATCACATGTCCTCACATATTTTTCAGCTTTTTTGTCCTTTGCTAATCTCATGCCTCTTTGTCCTGCAGTCAAGAATATGGGAGTTTCCCTGCTGTGTTTACCCTGCCAACGTTCCCCAAAGATATCCAGACCAAACTGGACACAAAACAACCATGCCATAAAGTGTCTACTGATAGACACAAAATCGTGAGGATATTGCATGAGACGATGGCACAATACACAATGTAAATATTGCTATTGTAAATATTTGTCAGCACACCTTCAACAGTATTGTGATCATACAAATACTTAACTTACTTTCTCATCCTGCTTTCTCTAGGTATCCGACAAATTCTGAATATATTAAAGTGGCCAAAGCATTGATTTTCAGGTATCCTTTCCTGAAGGATATGGAGGGGAATGGATATGTAAGTTACTTTTACTGGTTTTATAGTCCTATGTGGTTTGTTGAATTGACAGATGTTATCTCCACTATAGCATTTTCGATTAAGGACAAAAGCCTTTTCGAGAGCTCATTTACAAATGAACTTTTTCTAATGAGGTGTTATCTGGGTTACATCACAATATATGTTTTGATTTCCATAACCTGACATACCTGATTTGTTTGTTTCACACAACCAACTGGGAAGACTCTATGGTAAACTGTTTTGAAAAGGGCAGGCACTTTCAAAAATACTTGGCAGGGGATTGGATGAACCACCTGTCTATCATATCTGTGCCCATGCCGTCTTTTGATTGACAGTCTGTCAGCTATGAAAGTGCGACCAATACATGGGTGCCATCTACTGACAAAGAATCCCTTTTAGCTCAACAGCTCCGTAGTGGCCAAACATCTGCTACCTTCTCTTTAAACTCAATGAGTTTCACAAAAATGTTTTGGGTTAATTTAAATCTTTGTCTCCTCTGATTAGAACACCTGGCATATGTCTTTAAAACGGCGGTTCAAAGCTGAAAGGACGCCCCTGGTCCACCACGAGGTAGTTCGAAACATGAAGCAAAAGTTTGGGCATCATAGATCACCCCAAGCACCAGAAAATAACCAGGGAAGCATAACGACTTCTGTCAGACGATCTTCAGTGAGTTTATTCCTATCAGCCTGTATACACTTAAAACTGAGTCAGTAAATACAGTATATAGAAAATGGTGGCACTGCTATATTAAGCCAGGCTCATGTTTGTCATTTGTCTCCATCTGTCTTGTCTATCTGCAGGACATCATTTCTGTTTTTGGGGAGGACGAGTCCTCCATTGGTGTACACACACAGGTTTTGAAACGACAATACCTGAAGACCCAGCCTGATTCCTGCATCGTTACCAACGCCATGACCAAGACATTTCAGTGGAGGAGAAAGGAGGTGGCTGAGGGGGTACGGGCTGATACTATCGCCAATAAGTATCCATTCTTGAAGACACCTGCTGGGGTATGTAAAATATGTAACCCTTCGCTACTTGCACGCGTAGTGTTCCGTCCATACAATCAACCTCTCTAAATTGTACTGTGTTGTCTTTGTTTCTGTCCGTCTATGCAGTTGTGTGAGGAAATGAACCGCATCCACAACATTGAAAACCTGCAGCACCGCTTCAGAGAGGAATTTCTCCTCATTCTACCCAAGGTGCTGGCCCTTGCAAGAGGAAAATCCCCTCTGGAGAAGATATATCTGCAGGCAAGAGAAGAGTCACTGAGCGAAGATCTACCAGGTAATGCTGTCTGTGTACAGGTGTCACTGCGTCGTAGGGCTGCTCGATTATGGCAAAAATCCTAATCACGATTATTCATTGACTTTGAAAACATCCATTTATTGAACTTTTAAAAATATATATTTTGAACAATATGTTTTAACAGTTGATTACCCTGTAACGTAACGTAAAAAAAACAAAAACATTTATATCTACAATTAAATAAATAATATCAAAATAATAAATACAGAAGATAAACAAATATTTTGGAGCGCACTTCCACAACCTACTAAACATATATAAATATGATAACTAATGTCACTCACAACCTGTAATGTTTAATTATACTGCTACACGCAGTACTCTTATTTTGGTAACCCCTCACCTGGAAACAGGAAGTAGTTAAGAGGCTCCGGCTTGACGAGGTTAGTAAAAGTTGACTGTACGCTAGAGATCGGAGAATAAAGACACAGCAACTAAAGCTTCCCTTGTAACGTGTTTATATGGATTTATTAAACAGACTGCAAGACACAACCTGGCCGAGCGGGCTTTTAGGGAGGGCAGGATGTGTAATGCAAGACACATTGAGAGCATCATTGCGAAAGGGAATGCACAGATTAATTGCACAGCCCTACTGCGACCTAGCTTCCACCCTCACTTGCCCACGTGGGTACGATCTCATCCTCTGACTTACAAACTCTTGTGACCACCTCAAACACCACCAACTACGCCACTGAAATGCTAGTATTCAATGGTGCGGGTGGGCGGTTTATACTGAGGAGTGAGTTTAATCAATTCAACTCACTTACATCTGCACACATTGTATCTTTACTTTTATTTTATTTCCCTGCTCCATTTAGGTCATTTTCACAATTGTATAAGTCCGATCCACCTTCTCACCACAGTGCCACAATAGACAGAGAATCAGACACCACTACAATTTTAGACATCTTTGTTGATCTGTGTCTTCCTCTCTTCTAGCCATGGACTTCAAAGCCGGGCTTGTTCTCCTGCCAATTATTTTCAAGGAAAAGGTGGAGCATCATGTTACTTTGGAAGAGGTAAGCCACTGTCACACCGGAGGGGGGAAATGTGCCTCATTCTTATAAATGAAGGAGCAACCGATGTGCATTTGTTTGCAAATGTTCATGTTGAGTTCCATTTGAACTTGACACATGATTTTCCGTGTCTCTTTCAAGCACCACTGTACATACTTGGGTTATACTAATTTACTTTCCATTTTGTGTTTAGCCTGGCACACCTTACCCGACCACCCAACTGACGCACACCAACTGGAAGTCAGCCTTCACAAGAAGAGGGCCCAGTGTGGTCAAAACGGATGGGTTCGAGTTGTTCAGGGCCAGTTATTTGGAGGAGGGAGTCATCGCAGCCTTTTGCGCATATTTCGTTTTCAACATGGCCTACCCACCAAACCGTAAGAACACCTTGACCTTCGTACAGCGCTGCATCCTGAAAATATCTGAGGAGGGGGATAAGCCGCTCTCGACCACTGTTATCAGAATTCTTAACCAGTTATACTAATGCCTCGCCTACATCAATGTCCCAAGTGCTCTCGAAGAACATTCACACTAATGAAATTAGTACAGCATGTTGGACTTATACATGCTCATGAGTCTAATTTTAACATAACTTGTGGATTGAATGATTGTCAAAGTACATTTTCAAAATATGAGTCTTTCAGAAGACACATGTACAGAAAACACAAGCACTCCATTTTGCCCTCTGATGACGAAGAGCATGAGCCCCCTATGGACCTTGAAAATGAAGATGCCGCTGCAGAAAATGATCCCTCCACAAATGGCATGGCCGAACAGCCTCCCTGCTTGAATGAACTGTTGACATCGTTTAGTGAGAACCTTGTTAGTTTTATTCTAAAATGTAGAGAAAAAAATAATCTTCCACTGTTGGTACAGGAGGAAATCCTTGATGATGTCAATTTTTTGTTTTCTTTTTTTAAGGAAAACTATGATGCATTCATAGCCTACCACCTAAACAAAAGTGGCTTTAACATGTCAGAAAACCCTGAAATTCAGAATGTTTTACAATCTAAGGATTTTTTTGAAGAAGCATCAAATGTGATTAGGTCTAAATACAAGCTGAAAGAGCATTGCAAGTCAAAACTCGATATGACTGAACCTGTTCAGTACACTTCAAGAGGTTCTTCAGGACACAAACTGGGCAGCTACTCCTATGTTCCTCTTAGTCAAGTGCTGCGTAAATATTGCTCCCACGTAGATGTTTGGGAAGAAATACAGTCTTACAATAACCAACAAAAAAATGAAGGTGTTTTAAGTGACTATTCCGATGGGGTCTACTTTGCAGAGCACCCATTCTTCATGCATCATCCGAATTCCTTACGACTACATTTTTATGAGGATGAGTTTGAAGTAGTGAACCCTTTAGGTTCTAAACGTAACAAACACAAATTGTGTGCCTTTTATTATTCAATCGGTAATATGGACGGGCGCTATCGGTCTCAATTGAAGAATATTCATTTAGCTTTACTTGTGCGTTATTCATATGTAAAACAATGTGGTTGGGATGTCATATTGAAACCAATGCTTGATGATCTCAAAGATCTAGCAACGAATGGGTTCACTGTATCTGTTAGTGGGATTGAGTACAAAGTTAATGCAGCACTAGCAACGATTTCTAGCGGTAATCTCTCTGCTCATATGCTTGCTGGGTACAGCATGTCATTCAACTCTGGTAGGATTTGTAGGTATTGCATGGCAACTTATAATGAAATGAAAGAAAAGTTTACAGAGGAATGTTTTGTTTTAAGAACAGCAGCTGTTCACCAATATCACCTTGAATGTATAGTACAAAATCCAGACAGTAAAGCAATATATGGAGTACAGAGTAAATGTCCATTTGATGAACTGCCCTATTTTGACACAACTACCTCCTTTCCCCCAGACATAATGCACGATCTACTAGAAGGAGTAATTCCTTTATTTCTAAAACTTGTTTTGACTCGAGCTCATAGAGAGAAGCATATCACTATTACAGAAGTAAATGAAGAGTTACAGAAACTCTCAATTGGTCAAAATGACAAGACAAACCGACCTGTACTGCTGTCTGAAAAGCTTTTAAATAAGTCAGGAATAGTTGGATCTGCATCACAAAAGTGGTGTCTTTTTAGGTTGCTCCCTTTTCTAATAGCAGACCGTGTTCCACCAGATAGTAAATAGTAAATGTTCCTCTTGTGTCGTGAGATTTCAGATATTGTCATGGCATCTACAGTAAAAAAGCGGTGTCTTCCCATGTTAGACTTACTTGTACAGGAGTTCCTCGGAGAAATGAAAGACGTATTTGGGATCATTACACCCAAGTGCCATTATATGATACATTACTCTCGACTTATGTTAATGTATGGACCTCTTCGATCCCTTTGGTGCATGCGATTTGAAGGGAAGCATCAGTATTTTAAAAATGTTGCCAGTAATTGTAGGAACTTCATTAACATAGCTACAACACTAAGTAGCCGTCACCAATACAAACAGTGCTGGGAGTTTTCCTCCAAGATTTTATGTGACTTTGAAAAAGTACCAGGAAAGAGTATTGGCACACCATTTGAATCTTTACCAGCCCAACTTCAGACAGCTCTTTCAAACTTTGTAGGAATTGATTTGAATGGCAAGGTTGTTACGTGTATCTGAGGTTTTATTACACAATGTTAAGTATGCCTTAAAAGACATTTTCGTTATTGCTACAGTTCATTCTGAGGAAATTCCCTTGTTTTTTTAGGTAAAATACATTTTAAACATGGACACAAAATGGGTTTTGTGTGGGAAAATGCTGATTCCAGTATCATATCTTAAACATTGCCATGCATACCAAGTCCAGTATGACACTGATTGGTCATGTTTTCTGCCAGGCCAAGAGATCAATTTTTCACCTCTTGATAGCTATACCGTGGATGACAAATTGTTGGTGAATATTTCCAAGTAATATTGTGACTGCGACTGACTGACCGACTGGGTGACCAGTATGACACTGGTCATATGTTCACATCTTTATATAGCTATGCAGTGGATTACAAATTGTTGTTGAATATTTCAAACTAATGAGAATTGTGAAGCTTTGATAGATTGCTGTATTTATGAAAATGTGTTTCATTGTATTGGTGAATGTTTCACCCATTGATATATATATACTGTGGATGACGGGTTGTTGGTCATCAGTATATCAAAAGTATTTTTTTCTATATTGATGGGTTATTGAACATTTATTTTCATTTTTCAGCGTTCGTAGGAAATGAATTGATGCTTTTATTGATTATTGTTGTAGCATGCAAGTTGCCATCTATATTATGTGCTGACTTTCTGATGGGAGTGATGTGAGGGATAACGTGTTTTGATATTGATTAAATTAGATTAAACTAAAATATTTGGATTTTTGCCTGTTTTGTCTGACAAAAACCTATGCTCACTTTTAAAGGTACAATAAAGTGACAAATGTGTACCTGAAAGGTACAAATAGCCTTGTCACTGGGGTGGTACCCTAAAGAGACAAATTTGTACCATTTCAGAAGGTACATGTATATGTACCTATGTAAAAGGTACATATTTGACCCTTGAGGTACATACAAAGGTACAATGTACAAGGGTACAACTTTGTACCCATAGTTTTTGTACCTTTTTTTGTACCTTTAGGGTACCACCCCAGTGACAAGCGTTTGTACCTTTTTAAGGTCTTTTTCGTACCTTTTTTTCTGAGAGTGTACATTGACAAACCTCGCCCACAAGGGCGGGGTGGTGGTATAGCTGCTATTATCAGAAAGGAAATAAAAGCTACCATAATCCCCATCCCTGATGTTTCTTCATTTGAACACCTGATCTTCAAACTCTCTGGTCCCACTCCCCTGGTCACAGCCATCATCTACCGTCCCCCGAAGCCAAACCCCTCCTTTCTCTCCGACCTCTCTGACATTCTCACTCAGCTTTCTGCCATATCCCCATCTGTAATATGCCTCTGAATTTAAGGAAACCCTTTTGTAGCGGCCAAAATCCTATAGAACTAAAACAGATAGTTAACTTAACAGCCGCTGAGGCACTAGTTAGCGGATCTTACGCAGGGCAATGATCCAGGTCCAGACAAGATTCTCCGTTGTGCATTTTATTACTATAACAAAATACAATGAACAGGTTTCCTATATCTCTTTCCTATATCTCTTTCCTTAAGCCTTTCCTATGGCTTTCCCTTGTGTAGCTTGAAACACCCTGATCAAAAACCATTTGCCTACTAGTGCTCTCGCTCCCACCACCCACCTGTCTCCAATATATACAATTACACCAGGTGCTCTAATTACCCAGTGCCCAAAACATGCCTTCAAAATAAAAGTGGACGGGGATTATGGCCGCTACACCTTCACTGCTGCAACTTCTCTCAACACATCAACTTCCCAACACACAGCCGTGGTCACATCCTGGACTTGGTCTGCTCCACTGGTCTCACCATCCATCATCTGTCCAGCCTCAATCTCCACATCTCTGATCACCTGGGCCCAGGAGTTCAAAACTTTTAATCCCTATCTGGTCGGATCAGATTTATCTTTTGGGGAGTTCAAAATCAAAAAACAGGATTAGGATCACTTTGATATCCGATCAGATCAGGAAATCCAATCCAAGCTTTAATCTGGATCAAATCTTCAAAACGGGTAGTTCAAACCGACAACACAGGATTGGGATCAGTTTGATCCCAAAAAACTGGATTATCCTGATCCCACCAGAGGGGTGGATTTCCAGTGGATTACCAGAGCAAAATGTACTTTACAATTTATTTTAAAATATGTTTCAATGTCAATTAGATGGCAAAGTTTGTTAACTGAAATAATACACAATTTTTAGCCTTCATGGGACATACATTTTATTTTTTCCATTTGTTGCTCACGTTTGTGGTGGCCTATTTTGTTTTCAACCAAATGTCGATGACATAAATGTTTATGCTCATAAAGGTATCACAGCAAAGATTGTCAATCACAAATGTAATTTAGATTAAAGTAAAAATATCTTCAACAAAAAAAAAGTCCATCATCTGTCATCACCTTTCAAATAAAAAAATATAATTAGACATTATAGATGTCTCTGCAATGTGGTCTCTTGTCTTCCTTGTAGTATTTTTCATATCTACTAGATGGCGCTCGGTAGGATTAAAGCACTGATATTCAGGATCTAGTCATCTTGAAAAGTCGTAATCTGGATCAGGCTGATCCTATCCTGAATTGCTTTGAACTCCAGGGACAACATTTGGCGGACTTGTCTGATCCTGGATCACAAAAAATGGGATTTCAAAATCTGATCGGATCTGATTGAGATTAAAAGTTTTGAACTCTTGGGCCCTGGCCATCATCATGGACATCAACATCCCCATCCCCGCCCAAAAGCAAAAACGCACAATAACCTACAGAAATCTCAAATCCATCTCACCTTCAGCAATCACTGCCTCCATTACCTGCAAGATGTCTGTCTCCCCCCCCCCACTTTCTGAAAACCCATCTGAACTTGTGGACTATTATAACAGCACCCTCTCCTTCTGTCTCAATGAACTGGCCCCCACAAAAACAAAACATTTCTCTTTCATACACTCCGCCCCCTGGTATACCCCCGAACTCCGCCAAATGAAATCAAGGAAACGTCAACTTGAACGCCAACACAAGAAAACCGCACTAACAGTCCATCTTCACATCTACAAAGACTATCTCCAGCAGTACAGTAACACACTCAAAGCAGCCCGGTCTAATTACTACTAATTACTACTCAACTAAGTCAGTCTGGCTCCAGCAACCCCAAGCGTCTGTTCTCCACCATCAGCAAACTTCTCAAACCCTGTGACAACGCCACCTCATCCTTCACCACCGAACAGTGCAACTCCTTCCTCTCGTTTTTCCAAACCAAAATCAGCAACATTTACAGCAATCTGACACCCTCATCAGCACCCCCTGGCTCCCCCCCTTCACCTCACAGCCCCTGTCCCACTTCTCCCCTGTGACACTGACCCCCATGCAAATGTCCGACTTCATGACTTCAGGAATTAACTCCACCTGCACACTTGACCCAATGCCCTCCAAATTTGTTAAAGAGAGCCTCCCTGCCATCTCCCAACTCATCGCCACCATCATTAACTCCTCCCTCAGGTCTGGATCAGTTCCCCCCTCTCTCAAACTGGCTGCTGTCACACCCATTCTCAAAAGACCTGGACTCACACCTGACATCATGTCCAACTTCCGGCCCATCTCAAATCTCCCCTTTCTGTCAAAAATACTTGAACGTGTCATTGCCTCACAACTTAAATCCCACCTCAGCTCCAAAGACCTCTTTGAGCCATTTCAATCCGGTTTCCGATCAAAACACAGCACAGAAACAGCTCTTCTGAAAATCACAAACGACCTCCTCCTCTCCTCTGACTCCGGCAACCTGAACATCCTCATCCTCCTCGACCTCACCGCAGCATTCGACACCATCAACCACGCCATCCTGCTGTCCCTCCTCGAATCATCACTCAACATCACCGACACTGCACTCTCCTGGCTGAAATCCATACCTCACCAACAGACATCAGTTTATCAACATCAACAACTGCACCTCCTCCACTGCTCCTCTGTCCCAAGGCGTCCCCCAGGGTTCGGTGCTTGGCCCCCTCCTCTTCATCCTCTACATGCTCCCCCTTGGCAAAATAATTAGTCGCCACAACCTTCAATTTCACTGCTACGCCGATGACATCCAACTTTATATCTCAACAAAAACCATCACCCCCACAACACACTCCACTCTCACCAACTGTCTCTCAGAAATAAAAGCATGGATGCAAACAAACTATCTCCAACTGAACAGTGCCAAATCAGACATCATCATCATTGGCCCCCCATCCCGTACCAAAGCCATCCAGGATGTCAACTTCACCATTGACAGCCACACTCTATCTCCCCCCCCCCTCACATCCGCAACCTCGGAGTCATCTTCGACAGTCAGTTGTGGTTCGGATCCGGACCGAACCACAACTGTCTCTGGACTCTGAGCAAATTATACTTTTCATATGTATTATCTGTGTCATCTGCGAGACATCGCCACAACGCAACGAGTTAAAATGATCCGCTATGTCCATAGACTGCAAACGGCGCTCTGCATGTCCTGTTCCACTGTCTGTGTGTGTCTGTCAACGCATTGGTCCAATCACATTCAGCATCCCGTCAGCGTTTTTCCCCCCAAACAATCTGCGAATCAGAGGCACAGTAGGGCGGGTCTTCGCGGAATGCGGGTGGGAAAAATGTGTGTCTCGTCTCTTTCCACCTGTCTGAGTCAGAGCGAGAGTTTTAAAAAAGAAAATTCAGAGCGAGAGTTAACAGCTCATCTAGTTCCATCTGTACTGTAGCTAGTAGCCTAGTTTCACCTACCGGGGTGGCAACTGACACCCTAAAAATAGGCCTTGCCACCCCAGTTGGCATCTTTGTTTTGAAAGAAAAGTTGTGGCTCATCGGACATTTATGAGAGAAAGTCTCTAATGTCCGAGTGCAAGTGAATGCAGCACAAGATGCACGTCATGTAACCCCTCCCCCGGTCCTGGCGCAAGCGTGGACATATGATTGGCGGCGATTTCATTTGAACGGGACGGCGCAAAACGAGAAGCATTCGGACCCAAGCACCACTGAAGGAATGAGGTATTTGCGGTCTACACTGACAGAGAAGAGACTGTCAGTTTGGCTGTACTCAGCATTTAATCAAAACGCACTAAAGCTGTTGATCTTAACGGCCCGTCCACACAGCGGCGTGCGTTGACGCTTGCCGGCGGGCGTGTTTGACACTCGACCAATAACCAATCACATGAATCTCCCGCCCCTGACACACAAGCAGCGGTTTGATTGGCTAGAGCTTGTACTGGCATATGATTCGATTGGCTGACGCTTCTGCCGAGGCGTCAAAAGTTGAACATTGCTCAACTTTTGCAGCGAGCCACGCCAGCAACGCTCCGCGTCGCTTCCCACGATGCAGTTCGGCTAAAAGTGACGTCACCCCATTCAAAGTGAATGGGCAGAAGCGTTGGAAGCTTCAACGCACGCCGCTGTGTGGACGGGCCGTAATAAGTTTGTGAGGCGTTTTGCTGAACAAAATGGTAATCGCCGCATTCAGCTGTAATAGACATGTCAACTTGATGCTCTGCTCACGGATGAGCATACAAAACTATTAAGATGATGACCTTACGTGTGTACATTTTATTTTTCTTTGAGGGGGTCTGCCCCCAAAAAACAGTTTAAAGTCCTGAGAAAGTCAAATCAGACGGTGTGTAAAACTACACTGCCCAGCCAAAAAAAAATAACCACTTTGATTTAACTAGGCCAGTAGGTAAGGACATTCCACTGGATAATAACTGAAGTATAAAAGAATGCATGACTGAAGTGATGGAGACCATGTTGAAGGCAAACAAAAAGAGGAAATAACAGGTAAAATCAAGCAAATCCCCCTCTCAGATTCCACAGCAACCAGAAGAACATAAATACTGGCTGGTGATTTGATTAATCAGCTTTGTGATGGAATAAAAAACGCACAGTGCCTTTCCTTGGCTGTGGATGACTCCACTGACAATGCTCAGTTGCTAGTGTTTGTGAGTTTTTATGATGAGGCAAAGGGGGAGTTTGTTGAAGATGTGTTGGGCCTGACGAACCTCAGTGGACACACAAGGGGGCAAGACATTTATAAAGCAATAATGGGAATGCTGAATGAAAGAGGTAAGGGTGCAGCTGCCTTTATTCATAACTGTGCAGCTCTTACACTGTGACTCTGAGGGGTCAAGCACAGACACAATAACAATAAAAACTGCTGCATATACAGATTATTTTTGTTTTTGCAACCTCGTGTTAAGATTCTTGTTGCAATTGTTTAAAAGTTTGAATGACCGTAATAAACGGACCTTTGTCTTATTGAAACATTTATTTTGGACCTTTAAGATTTGTATTTGAGTACCCCTGCTCTACGGCATACCATCCAACCTCCTCAATAAACTCCAACATATCCAGAACTCTGCTGCCCGCCTCCTCACCCACTCCCGAGACCACATCACTCCCGTCCTCCAGAACCTCTACTGGCTCCCCGTCTGTCAAAGAATCAACTTCAAAGTCCTCCTCATTACTCACAAAGCCCTCAACAATCAGGCCCCCCCTACCTCACAGACCTGCTGCACCACCACACCCCTTCCCACTGCCTCCGCTCATCAGAAGCCAACCTCCTATCCATCCCCACCCACAACAATCACCGGACCTGGGGGCCATCGTTGCCCCCTCCCTCTGGAACTCACTCCCACAACCCATCAGAGACTGCACTGACCTCACCTCCTTCAAAAAACTCACAAAAACTCACCTCTTCAATCTGGCTTTTAATGTGTGATTGTTTTTGTATTATTTGACTTTAACTTTAAAATATATTTATTTGTTGTTCCTTTCTTTTATTTTCACTATATCTGTAAAGCGTATTTGAGCACCTGTAAAAGCGCTAACAAAATAAATCTATTATTATTATTATTAAAGTCAATTTTCTAGTACCTCTAAAGCTCAATAAAGTTATATCTAATTTATTTAATCAGTAAAAATATTTAAGCGTAAACTGCCAAGTAACTTTCTAGCTGATAGACTTCAACCACTCCCCCACAATTATCATCACAACAATCATGGACGCGGGAAGGGGAGGTGCAGAGGAGGCTGCAGCACCCCCATCTGCGAGGCTCCACTAGCACCCGCACCCCCAAACGTGGCGCACCTACAGTGAAAGCGCACCACAGTTTCGCCACTGCGAGGCTACACTAGCACTTTCCCTGTTTGTTCGTAATACAGCACTGATTTTGGTTCGTATGGAACTATTTTACGGTATTTTGTTTAACACGTGTTTATATCGGGACACCAGAGAAATTTAGCGTGGTGTGAGCTGTCTTTTGGATGGAAACTAATATTATGAAGGAAACAATATGCAGTATCAGCCCATCTAAATTATGAGCAGCCTATGAGGTATGTTAACTTATTGCTTAAGCAACTGTTATGTCTTGCAAGTGCTTTGTGTGTTTGTATGAATGCTATGGTGTGTTAGCGTATTCTACGTGCTACATGCTATGCGTTAGCTGTAGCCATGTCATATCACCCCCATCCTTAAAACACTACACTGGCTCCCCGTAGAACTGATGATTGAATACAAGGTCTCCCTCCTCACCCACCAGTGTATCCATGGAACAGCCCCCCCCCCCCCCCCTACCTCAAGGAACTCCTCACCCCTCATACTTCCTTGCGGACCTCTCGCTCCAGCAATACCAACCTCCTCAAACCCCCCAGGACCAAGCTCCGTACTATGGGAGACCGGGCTTTCTGCTCGGCTGCTCCCAGACTGTGGAATGCTCTCCCCGAGCACATGAGAGCACCACAGACCGTGGAGGCTTTAAAAAAGGCCTCAAAACCCATCTATTCAATAGAGCCTTTTCCTAGACCTTTCATCTTATTTATTACTACCCTTTTATTTATTTATTTATTGGTTTGTTTTTTACTGCTTTTTATTCATTATACCGTGTTGTGTACTATTTTTATTGTTGTTCCATGCTAACTGCTTGTAGGATTTCGGGATCTGAACTCAGATATGAAGTGCGTTATAAATTAAACCCATTATAATTATTATTATTATTATTATTAGCGTGTGCTACGTGCTACATGCTATGTGTTAGCTGTGTTAGCGTGTGCTACATGCTATGCGTTAGCTGCGTGCCGTTTATTGTGTAGTTTGGCGGAATTCATCGCTTATACATATTTATTTATTGTTTACTTTCAATTTCTCTCTGTTCTTCAACCCAGTTCTCACGGGTTGGGTTGGTATGAAAATAAACCTTGTATTTTAATGAAGACCTCGGCCCTGTGTCTATTACTGGAGGGAGCTAAAAGCATTTTAAGAAATACGCCAATAATCAGACTCTACTCAAACGTAGCTGAGACTTTGCCTCCATTACATACTGTCATTGCATGTCATGATTCATAAGCCTGGAGTTTAAAGTATAGTTTTTACACTTTAAAAAAAAAAGTTTTTAGCCAGACACTGATGGTGTTTCTCGCAAATTAACCCTTTCTAGAAATCCTATATGACAATCTGTTGTATTATATAACCTGTGGTACAGTCTTCAGACATCTGTGGTGACAAACCTCACATGGTGCATTATCTTGTGAAAAACTTGTGCATGTGAACATTTAAAAGGAAGTCTTAACCACACTTCTCTGATGTCTTGTCTAGTTGCATGCATACTTTTACCATCCAAGCTTTCAACCCACAGGTCTATGCGAAGAGTACCTTTATTTGCATCTATTGTCTTGTAAAATGTGCAATTAATGTAACTGTTGGCTAAAATGTAGTAAAAGTAGTAAAGTGATGGCAGTAAGAGTATACACTCCACATAGGAAGTTACACACATCATCATCAAATGTCAAGTTAAAACACATAAGCCAGATAAATAGAGAAAAGAATAAACCCACCCTTAATTTAAATTGTTCTTTATAACAATTTGTTATCGAGTTGCATATCTAAGGACTGGAGGTAACCATTTAAGTGTAGGCAACAAAGAAAAGAAACATGGAACACACATTAAATGTAATTTGTCACAAGTTACATGAATACATAACAGAAAATGTTTAATGTGCAAAGTATTTGGCTTTGTACTGCGCTCCTCAGCAGCAGCCTGTTTGGGTATATTATCTGTAATATTATCACATAACTGCCCTGGTATCCATATTTGGTATCTGGAAAATGAAAAAAAGATAGGAATATATTGTTCAGAATGAGAATATCTTCCAAGTGTTTTATTCTACCCTTAAATTGTGAGGTATGAACCACCTTGGTTTGATTGTGGTTTGCCAGCTTCTTATTGTGGTGGATTCAGGAAAGGGAACAGGAAATGTGAATTCTTGACACGATGTGAATAAGAAGAGAACGTTTGAGACAGGTCCGACTACCTGCCAACCACCATTATGTCAATTTTTTGGTGACGTCAATATTTACATGTCCCAGATGTGAAAGCGCTGGTCTGCTCCAGCAGAGAAAATCGGAGTGCTGTCAGAATTTATGGCCAAGTGCAAGACTCGATCAGAATGAGCTGGAAAAAAATCATAAACGGTATTAAACTAGGACATCTAAATACATTATTTCCCATATGATAAACAGGGGTTACGTCTGGTTTCAATTGCATGTCATAATTTGTGTCAGATAGTAGGCCTACAACATTTTAGCAGCCATCAATGCAAAGATGCATATTCACTTAACAGTAAATCACTGTGTAGTTTGGAACATTATACCTTTTTTAAGTAGTTTCAAAGAATGCCTAATATCTTCAATTGATGTGAAAACTCATACCAGAAATGTCAGTTACTACTGATTGGTTTCTGAACAAAAAAATGCCAAAATGAACATAAAGTGCAACTGAATAATGAAGTGAAACAGACTGGCAGCTCAAAGATTTTCAGGCTATAAATCACAAACAGATAAGTTGATAAATAACACAATTCATTAACATTTAGAAAACAAAGAAATTCAAAATAATCTTTATTGGATTTTAAAAGAATGGTTTTCAAATTTCACATTGACTGGAAACCCAGGATATGAATGACTCAAAATGGCTCTTAAATATCTCAGCCATAGATGACAGAGCTGCAGGTCCAACTGTCACACTGATGCTGCTATATTACTCAGCATCTGATGCAATACATGTATTCCTATGTGGCTGTTGTGAATGTGTTTGTGGATGTTATTGCACATTAATCATATTTCATATTCTCTCACCTCTGAGCTGGTAGAGGGGGCTGAGGGAGGGAAACTCTGACGACCAGCAGGTGACTTGGTGATGAGGCAGACCGTGACCTGTGACCAGATATCTCTTCTTTTCAGCCCAACGTAGAGAACAGATCTGCAATTTGAGCCATTAAAAACAGTCTGTCCAATATTTATACCCAGTCAATTGCTACACGTTGAGAGTTAAGTACCTGAGACTTTGTGTTAGCTGATGTCACACATGTCCCCAAATCTGTGTCCCAGATTCTCAGCTCTCCATCTTTCAATCCGCCTCCGGTGGCAATCATCTTTCTCTGCCATGGACACCATCCCATTGCCTTAACATACAAACACAAGATATAAGAAAGCACACACAAAGGTCAGCGGATTGTCTGGTTGTTTAAGCAGACCAACTATCGAATGGTTGCAACTGTGTTTTTGAAACCTCTGTAACAACAACATCCTTTAACTAGCAGCATGGTGCTCAAGTTTGCACAAGCTATTATTAGTCATCCTCAAATCATACAGCAGAACACACAGTTGCTGACAATATACGAGTGTGATTGTGTCAAACCCGTCTTCCACCTGTAAATGATGCAGGTATTCTTTTGCAAGTTGCAACTATGACATTTGGTACAGACATTTATGAATCCCTAAGGATAAATTATATTAACATTGGTTGTCTTATGACGTTTTGTCTCGTGATACTATCACTCCAACATTTCAATTTCCAATACTTTATGGCCAAATACTTGCAATGTTATCATACAATCATACAAAATGAAGTTGGAAAACACATAAAACATTACCTGCTAAACGTTAGAATGGTTACATTGCCATTTTGAGCTTATTAAACAACCGGCCATTAACTTTTGGGTTTAAGCACCAGAGAGCCACTAGTATGGCTGTTGACTTGTAGTCATCGTTGTATTATAAAAGTGTATGAAGATGTGTCCTCCGTCCCTATTTCATTAGGTAGATAAGATACAGTGCAAATAAAAAGTATTCATGTTTTATTGTTTTACAACATTATATACAAGCCTTTTTCTTTCTTTTTTTTTTTTACAGTGAACAGTCCAATACCACTGTCAAAGTTACAAAATACAACTCACATTGATCTAAATGAATTACTAAATATTAAAAGCACTACAATAATCAGGCTTCTCCTCCCATCTGACAGGCAGGAGTTTAGCTTACACTGACCTTTACAGCACTGGGCTGTGTCATCGTAGTGATTGGCTGGTGTGACCTTGTGACCCCTGCGATGTCTCCGTCCCATATACAGAGGAGGCCCTCTGTGGAGCCGCTGGCCAGACAGTCCTCTCCTGGGGCCCACTGGAGGCTGCAGATCGCCTCCTTCTGCACAACGGCACCCACGAGAGGTGAAGGAGCCCGAGGGTCGAGGTGATGGATATGCCCGAGAACTGAGCCGCTGTAGGGTTGTAGAAACTGTCATTAATGCGTGAATACTACACACTTCATATTGATATAGACTAATTCCCTTTTTTACAACAGCTACTTTTCGTTTTGCTTAAACATGAAAACAATTTAGATTTGAATACGAATGTCATTCCTTCTTTATTGGAGTTTGAAGATAATACGTTATTTTGCAGTCCTTAACTTTCATTTAGGGTACTTAAAACACACACCTGCTGAGTAACTGCTGTTTCCAAGAAAGAGCCATCACCACAGACTGATGTGACCACAGACGTCTCATACTCTTCTTTTGTTCAACATCCCACAACTAAAAAGTCAAAGAGACACCACAAACAGTCATTCTGCTGATTCAACTAGGTGTGACACCTCCCCTCACACAGGCCCCCCAGACCACAATTTGTACAAACCAGTTTCTAAGCCAAATGTACTCATTTACTTTAAGCTCCAAGGCATTTACCTGCATCTCCCCTCGCCTGGTGCCGATGCAGAGAGTTCTGCCATCTCTGCTCCAGCTCAAACACGAGATGGTCTGAAGGTACGCTCGTCCTGGTTGTGGAATCGGGGCCAAATGTCCCACCAGAGCACGAGTTTCTGAATTCCAGAGGTAAACAGAAGAGCCCAGTGCTAAAGCAATTATACCATCACAACTGCAGTCGAGAAGATTAGTGTCTGAAGGGAAAAGATGGAAAAAAGAGAGAAGGGCTACTGAGGAGTAATACTGACAAACTTAACTGCTGATTGACACACCATCAGATAATTTAGACCAGACACTAAAAGTTCCCTTTTTAATTATTCACATTGTGTTTACTGGTTTAACTGTTGTATTGTTTTTATTTCCCAACTTGAGGGTGTCTATCATGTTTCAAAAAAGTCCTCATATTGGCAAGAGTAGTAGTAAATGTTGGCGACTTTATTCTTTATTATTATGATAGCCTAAAAGTGGTCATATGTGTTAAGCTCATACTGTTGCTTAAACTTGAAGAGTCTTTAATGCTCACTGACGTATGACAGTTTACTTGGGCCAAAGTGAAGTGAAAACTCACTGGCGAACCATGTGCTAATCCACCGTTGCAAATAGTACCTCAACAAATACACTATTTCCTCCTATAATTTGCTAAAAACTACAGTCTTAGTGTTTTAGGAAATAATAATACAAGCGTTATAATTTAAATACAGAGACAGAACAGCTTAGTTTTCTTCGCAGGATTAGTATGTTTTCTTACAGTAGTCGTTCAGCAGTGACGGTGTCGCCAACTTCAGCACTGACTTTCCACACTGACTGACAGAAGTACTGTCCAGAACAGCAAATGGCTGCAAAGCATGTGTCCTCTCATCAGAACCTGCATGGAAAAATATTACATAAAAACAGAGTTAAAACATACACACACACACACACACACACACACACACACACACACACACACACACAGTTTCACACCCAAAGCATTTTACTTTGATTTACTGCTGATAATGTCCATTGCATTTATTTTCACTCACTGAAATCAAATCACTTCATAAGCTCTACAACAGTGATTCCCAACCTGGGGGGCGCGCACCCCTTGGGGGGGCGCCAAATATCGCAGGGGGGGCGCCAGGCCTCAGATGATTTGAGGCCAAATATCATATTTAGACTTTTTTTTTTTTAAACTTTTTTTACATATAATTGTAAAGCAATACATGATTGTCACTAAAAGCCTTGTCTCTACATTACAATAAAATATAAAAAATAATTGATTAATTAATTTGAATAACAATTCAAGTTAGTAGCTATTAAAGGCATACAAAGACAGAAATGTATAATTCTTTCTTTAATAGAAATGTTTCTTCTGCGTGTAAAGTGTCCAAACCAGGCCTTTCTGGATAAGCGCATTTTTAAAACATAGTCATTGTCCATGCCGGTTTCAGTTGGATTATTTGTCACAGTTGCTCCGATCAGATCGGTCACCTCCATTTTGTACATTATTTACGACTTTTGAATCCACATAAACACATCGGCAAAATCCGGCTTACTTTGAGCATGTGTTTTAAACAGTTTAATCCCTTTGTAAATTGTTTCCACTTCCGCGCCGTCCTTTAATTTCTTCATACAGCGGGAATCCAAATGAATTAATCCTGAGTCCAATAACCATCAAAGTCACTCCAATAGTGCTCCTTAATTACGCTTTCATCCTCCTTTAACAAAATACTTCACATTCATCTAGTTTGTAGCATTTTTGAGACTTTTAAACTTTAATTACCGCTGTTGCGCCCCCCCCCCACAGCTTCTGCATGAACCATGGCCAGTGCATGCTGCTGGTGGACGTGAACGGACAACACTGCCAGTACGTGTGTGTGTGTGTGTGTGTGTGTGTGTGTGTGTGTGTGTGTGTGTGTGTGTGTGTGTGTGTGTGTGTGTGTGTGTGTGTGTGTGTGTGTGTGTGTGTGTGTGTGTGTGTGTGTGTGTGTGTGTGTGTGTGTGTGTGGAGGGGGGGGGGGCGCGCAACTTCCAACAGGAGTCATTTGGGGGGGCTCTTGGGAAAAAAGGTTGGGAACCACTGCTCTACAAGATGGACTAGTGATGATGTACGGATACAATAATATCAGTAAACAGGAACATAAACAGACCTCCCACAGGCTGCACACAGTCTCTTAAAATCATTTCTGCACGTTTCTTGTTTACTGGTATGACAGCATGCATCGCCCTACAAGTCATTCAGATCAGAACTTTTTGTAGACCTTGAAGTGCTGTAGGAATGTAGTGAAAGACAAAGAAAAAATTCATGCTGTACCAGCCTGTTGAACATTTCCATGTTCATGAATTGCTGCTCTCCAGACCAATCCCTGCAAAAGAAAAGTAAGAATTATTACAATATTTAGTCTTTTACAGTCTTTTTTTGTTTTACCTAGTGATCTCATGGCTTCTCCACCTCAATCAATTTAGCAAAAAAACAACGTTTGTTTTTGCCATTTTTAACTGAAGCTTCCAAATAACTTTCATTGTTAGGGTTCCTGCCTTGTTGCTCACTTTTCAACATTTCCATTGATATAATAAATCCAACATTATATGTATAACTTTATTTACATAGAACCTTTTAAAGTATAGGTTAAAAAGTCTCACAACCCACTGAAAACATGTAAACATCAAACTCCAGTGGTACAAGTTCCTTAAACAAACCTGCTCTGGGGCATTCTCTGTAGCAGTCCATCTCCTGGCAGTGAAGGTGTGTTGTGTGTTTGGAGATGTGACACCCCCACAGTGTGATACGCCTCCTGCCAGCTCTGTCTCTGAATAGGAAAGATGATTATCAGAAAACATAAAAGCACCAAACAATGCTGCTCGGAATCCACACTCCATTTGAGACCGATACACATAATGGTGAAAACAACAAAGAGTGGATACATGAGTGTGTGTGTTGCCCTAAACAAACATTTGGGCCTCTGGACCTAAAACAAGGACAATGACTATGTGATAAACTACAGTGTATTATATTTTAAAGGGGAGGGCTGTGCAGAATTGTGCAAAAATATATTCAGAGAGCTGAGCATCAACATGGCTCACAGTTTTGTAATGCATAACGTTTGTGGAGTAGATAAAAGTCAGTGTCAATGGGCCTTGTTTGTGAGGCCGATAGCAGGGGGGAAGAAGCTGATATAAGTATTTGTGTGTGTCTTATACATTCTTAGCTTGGGGTTTGAATAATACCATGAAGGTTTCCCTGCAGGTGTCTCTGTGCTGGTTCATGGTCTCTCGGAGGGGAGTCCAGCTCCAGTCTCTGGCAGACTGCCTCCAGATCAAACCTGGGCTCCCTCTGCCCCCCAGTGGCCAGAGGTGTGCTCGCAGCTGGACCCTCACTGCTGCTCCTCTGGATGATCCTTCTCCTGAACCGCCTGTACGAGACGTGATGGCCATCGTTTGATCCCTGGAGAGACAGAAACATATGCATGATTTTAACAGAAATAAATGCGAGTCTTAAACATCTCAAATACTGCAAACTGACACCAACTTCCTACCTCTGAAAACTCAAAATACCACAACTTTACTAGTGTTAAGCTGGCAGTGTTCACAACATGACGTCCGGTTACGTTTCCAAGTAAAAGCATGGTAAATGCCTTTTAATTGCGAATTATATAGTGTAAGAAGAAGAAATAAGAAGGCTACTCACGCTGGGAGGCGCAGTCAGGTTATAAGCATCAGCTTTTCGGCGACCCTTTATAACACATTATTGTAAGCACATAATTTAACTTTTAGAGCTATTGATTTGTTTAATTTCTGCTTTACGCCTATTTAATATATAAATGTAGCCTACATAACGAACCTAATGTTCAGCTGTATCTTACTCGGAACACCCTAATAAAAAGAGTTGCAAAATTGTATTTACTAATGAAAATGAAATGATTTTTCATATGTTAGGGGAAACGATGCAAAACATACCACACGGAATCATGAAAATACTATTTTGGATTGAGAGGTTTAATGTCGCAATGGAAACGCATTACCTTTACAATGGCACTTACAACTGATGCTTTTTGAGTGGATCACGTTTACTGTTCTTATTTGGAATGGTATTGTTGGCTTCCGGTATCGTGCTAGTGTTTTATAACTTAAATCTGTGTTCCTTTTCCCCTGGTCCGCCCGGAGACTTTATGCAGGAGCCCCCGCTACCTCCTCGGTTTGTTCTTCCCCCTCCAAGATGGAGGCCTTAGGGGGCTACCGTACAAAGTCCTCCAACCCAAATGCGAAAAAGTTGACGGTTTTATTGAGCATGACAGTCGGGGTCGGGTGTTTGTTTCTCCTGCAGACTCAGCTTGTGAAGCCGAGGAAACCAACTGATTTTTACTCGTTTGAGGTGAAAGACGCGAAGGGGAGGACGGTGTCTCTGGAGAAGTACCGAGGGAAAGTAAGTCCACATCATCACCAGTCATTTCAGTTTGAGACAACATCTGTGCAAACTCTAAGTTATCCAGTGTCAGTTTGTTGTGTTTTTTATTGAAATTGTAGTTTTCGCACATAACAGTTACACCGTGGTTTCTCCTGTACAGGCGTCTTTGGTTGTAAACGTGGCGAGTCTCAGCGAGCAGACGGAGATGAACTACCTCTCATTGCAGGAGCTGCACCGGGAGCTGGGCACCTCTCACTTCAACGTGCTGGCCTTCCCTTGCGGTCAGTTCGGGGACACTGAGCCCGGGACCAGCCGGGACATCGAGGCTTTTGCCAAGTCCACCTACGGAGTCACCTTCCCCTTCTTCAGCAGGATCAAAATAATGGGCTCAGAGGCGGACCCTGCCTTCAAATTCCTCACAGGTGGGCATAACCACATCTATCACATCACATTTGTATTTTTATTTTATTTGGGTTAAGATGATAATTGAATGATTTATGGACTGACCCTACCAACTGTCTGGCAGGAAGTGCAATCTGGAGCTTACTTTCACTGCAACTCAATTTTAGTAGGGTCAATAGTATTCAGTTTATAATGGAAGCCTTTGCATTATGAAGCTGCAACAAGTTTTAACACCTGACTTCTATAGATAACTGTCATGTCCCAAACTAAATATACAACTAAAACATATTTATGCTTCCTCATAGGGAAAACCTAATGGTTAAGTTTATATGTAGTCGTGCGTGCATCTTAAAGAACATCTGGAAAACTAGCCTGTGTGAACTTCTGAGGTTATTGAAATGTAATATTTGCTACCTATTTATAAAAACGAAATAGATTTGGGCTTAATATTAATTTGTATACATGTTTAATTTATTGTAATAATAGATAATAATAAAGCAGCTACTCATTGTATATTCCATTCACTTCAGAGAGATCTATGTCAAACTGTACTGATTATTCAGTGTGTGAATTTGATCAGTTATATCGACCTTACGATAATACCATTATTTGTCAAACCGTTTATATTGTAGTAGCTGTCACTTTATTATCTTTGATTTTTGAATCAATGCAATGAGGTGTCTTGAGTTGAGAACAATTACTTATATGGCAAAGTTGCTGTTATGAGGTGTGATTTTATTTGATACTTTACAACATTAAATGAAGTCAGTGTGACATAATCAGGAGCAATAATCTATATTTTTCAGTTTATTAATAAGAAGCACTGGACAGGGAAGAGCGTAATCAGAATTCCTTGCTTATATTTAGGTTAGATGCACCATTAATGAGTGCATACTAATGTGTTGTGTTTCAGATTCTGTGCAAAAACGTCCCAGGTGGAACTTCTGGAAGTTTCTAGTAAATCCAGAGGGTAACGTGGTCCGATTCTGGCGAACAGACGAGCCCATAGAGAGCGTTCGAGAAGAGGCCACGGCGTTGGTGCGAGAAATCATCGTAAAGAAACGGGTGGAGCTATGATGGAGATGGATACGGGACACATCTAAGTGTGTTGTGCCTGTGTTCCCTTTGCTTTGATAGCAAGGAATGACTGAACGCTGAGCTGCTACAGTGAGGGTGGTTAGTGAAGTCTGGCTCCAGAAACTTGCCGAACAAAAATATCAATTTTCAGTCATTCAAAGGTAGTTGGAGTGTGTGTTGGTGCGTGGGAAACATCGGTTAATAATGACAATCATGATGAACATTCCTTATAATGACCACTGCTGCAGCCAAAGGATGGCTTAGCCATTGAAGTGTTTGATTTTTCAAATGTTCAGTTTGCCTTTTTGTGCCATCTTTTTCAAATGTTTACATTAAAATCAAATTCTTAGGTGAAGCATAACTTTTAGCCGATTTTTGACTGATTTGAGACCACAAATTGTAAATCGCCCATGATGACGTAATGTGATAGGACTACGTCATCATAGTTAATTGATTGGCGAGCTGAAGATACTTTGTTCAGTTTAAATACATCCACATTTTAAATGCTGATTGTTGATGCCAAGTAGGATGCCAACTTGCAAGTATTGCAATAGAAATGCATAGTGTCACTGTTATTTTGTATTCTAAAGGTGATTTTGTTATTTGACATTACTTAAAACAGTTTTTTTGAATGTCTGGTATAAGTCACATAAATCAACACCTGCAACTTTGAATCCCAACTTGCTGTTTAAAATTGAAGTACATGTTAATTGCAGCATCTCCTGGCTTGTTGGTGTGGGTTTGAATGGAAAGTTGGAGGGCAGCAGCAGGTAAGCTGGCACGCAAAGAACAAACCAGCTAACAAGACACTGCCTACCAACCACCCACAATATGAGCATTTTTCTTTTTTTATCTTCCTTAATCATTTATTTCTAGCTCATTGTATTCCAGAAGCTCAAGCATAAAAATACCAACATTCCATATTGGACATCCTCTTCTGTGCAAAGCTTCCTAAAATCCTGATCTGCTAACATAAAGTGCATGAGCGTTCAGAGAACAAGTGATAGACGTAGTCAAATGTAACTGTTAAGGTAGCAGAGCAGTGTGAGCTGTTGAAAGCAACATCAGCTAACATTACACTGCCTCCCGACCAGCCACCACTCCCCAATCATCCTGCTGTAAATGCAAATGAACAGATTTGACTAAGTTGAAGTGATGTTGAGTTGAATGTTTTGACATTGTGCTGAATGTCCAATTTCAGGGTTTTTTCATTCAGTCGCCTCCAACCTTTACCTGGCTGTTGACTTTTCATTTCCCCGGTGAATGAGGTGTGATGTTTGAGTTGAGTTGCAGCAGCAGTGAGGAGTGTAGCTGACAGCTGTCAGTTAGCAGCAGTACACTGCCACACTGTCACCACCAGATCAGAGGCTGCCACAACATGTAACCTTTTAATGCACATTTCTTCAACATTTCCCCTCTTACCTTGAAGGGACAATGGCTTCTCTTTCCGACAAAATCTCGCAGCATTCTTCTCATATTGTCCTGGTTATAAAAACAAGAAGACTTTCGTCAAGGTGATGCTAAAACAATGTCTTTCGATTAACTTTCTTTAGGTGAAATCTGTTTGTTTTTCAATCCATTATTAATAAAGTCGTGGATCATTGTAATATACAATGGATCACAGTCAATGTGTTTTTTTAATCAATATTTAAAAGCAAAGCTTAATTTTAGACACCGCCCTGTGTTTAGAGCCCTGTGTTTTAAGGGGTTGCCTGGTAGCAACAGAGCATAATGTGATTAAGGACATAGCTTATGTATCAGGCTATTTTATATTATTTTGTACTCACCCAGTCTTTCGCTTCTTCACTTGCTGGCTTCATTTCCAGTTGTAATGACTTTGCGTAAAGCAGCAGTCCCTCCTGTCTCTGTCCTGTCTCTGTCCTGCCTGGTGCACCTGCTGCTGCTCTCCTGGACGGACTGCTCCTAAATACTCTCCCCGGGCGCACGGTGGAGCGGGAAGCCCCTTCCTCTGCTCTGCTATTGGCGCTTCAGGTTTGAGTTTGTTTTTAATCAGTTATTGTCAGGGATTCCCTCCGCGTCCTGGTTTCTCCTGGATACCAATAGACACATTGAAAAAGAACAACGCGGTAATGTTTTCAAGGTGGAGGCGGCAACATGTTATCAGTTAATTACCCGGACAAGGACACATTTATTTCTTTAGGACTGTCAACCTCTACAGATTATAACCGAACTGCCAGATTTATGTCGTGAGAAAAATAATGATTAATGAGTTGGTATTATTATAAGGGAAATACATTGATGTCTAAGATATGAGACATTTCAATCACAAGCCATTTAAAGCATGAATCGTGATAAAATATTTAAAGGGAAATACGAAGGAATATAGGCTATAGGCCTTTTAAAAATAAGATTTTCCTCAATAATGGGCAGGGAAAAATAAATAATTTAGTAACAGTATAATTCTAGTATTGTTTATTTTGTCTTATGTTAACAAATTATAGACATTTTAGCAGTTTATAGGTTGCAAATGGCATTTCTTTTATAAAATTCGTGAATAAATATTTTTGTTTTATTACAACTTAACTGCAATTATAAGGTAGCCGTATACAAGTATAAAGTGGCATAACATTTTACTTAACAATACAAATATGTGTAACTTTTCAGAATAAAAACACCAACAAAATAAATAAAGCAAGCAGGTAAATTAGTATGTTTTGGATAGACATGGAACTACTCATTTACAATAATCTGTATTTGCGGGAAAAGGCTGTGTGTCCGCGGGCCACACGTTTTAATGATGATCTGCTCTGGCGGTAAGTGGGCTGAACGGCGCGAGGAACGCACCTTCGCGCCACCTGCCACTTCCATATGCGCCCACACCGGGCTCGAGCCTGACTGTGCGACAGGTGCGTGCATTAAGCAGCACACGCACATCCATCAGAGCTACTTCAACAGGCAACCACAATGCAGTCATAACAGATACACATCACATAATTCTACTTTTGAAATCGTCCCACCTTAAAAAGTGTGTGTATTAAAAAGTATTGCTATTATAAACAATCTTATAGTGCTGTTTAATATAATCAGACAACACTGCTTATGCTGCTTTATTTGTGTGTGTTAGGCAGTTTGTTTGTCTTAATTGCCCATATCCATAGGCATGTTTTCTTCATTGTATGACTTTAAATATATATTTGTTCAGTTATATTTGCCTAGAGACCTTGAGCAGTCAACAACATCCCTCCCTCCACAGAAAAACTAATATTAATATGTTTCTACCCGCGGGACTTTGTCTGAATGGTAACCAATCCCGCTAGGTTTGGCTTCAGTCACCTTAGAAACTCATTGTGTGTGTACTTTCCTTTCCCCTCCCTTATTGTCCCCCGCAGTTTGGCGGTAGCTTAACCGGTCAAATGTGTCACAACCAGTTTAACAAAGGCCGGCCTGCCCGCTCTCCCTGGCGCTGCTGGTCAGTGACACGCGGAGCTGTTTGCAGTAAAAGTGGCTCAAGGAGCGCCTGGGTGTGAAGGTTTGAGGTATGACAACAAGCGTCCAGTGTGATTTACGTTGGCAGCTGGGAGTTAAATGGTTAACAATAATCATGTCTGGGGTCAACCAGCGTGGTCAGGGTTAGTCAGACCATTGTACCTCGATTTTGGAAGGTTGGCCTACTTAACAGTAGCCATAGCATTTTCAGGTACTTGTAGCTACTAGCTACTACAATTCAGAATTAAACATTGCACTTTTTAATACTTTAGTATACGTTTATATATTATAACTTCAAAGATTCAGTTAAATAAATACAATTATGGTGGTACAATTTAATTATATTGATCAAAATAAGACCTTAATAATTCACAAAGCAAAATAACCCCACACACACACACTTTGTCAGCTGCCACAATAAAGTAAAGCCTCAATATACAGTATTTTTATATATATTAAACTGAAATGGGAAGTTTAGCATGAATTAATATTGGTATGTAAATAGCTGCTAATCCTTGTGTTATCTTATTTGATCAATATTTGATTGAAGAACCTTCTTACACTGGTATTTGTAAGAGCTGAGTACTTCAGGGCGTACACAGTTGTTTTCAATAGCCTATAAACCAAACTGCTACATGTTGCACAGTTTAATCAATCAGTCATTCAGCTTTCAAATGACTTTCTTCTGACATAAGCTGTATGTTAATTCAGATAGATCAGGCCACAAACTCTTATCAGGCTCTTCTTATCTTTGTTTATGTTGTCACATCCTATTTCATGACAGTACTGTCAAGTGTTGCCAGCCCAGGGCTGCAGTGCTGCCTTCATGCTCTAAAGTAAAAAGGCTCAGGTTTGGGGAGTTTAAACAGGTGTCTGACCTGAGGTTCGACATTATCCTCTGGATTGGCCCGCCTCGCACCATCCCATTTTTTGAACAGCTAATGCCCTCAACCGTAAGGTTAGAGAAGGATCACATGCAGCCTACATATACCAGAGGTCAGAAGGTCACATACTCTTAAAATAATTGAATCTCTTCTTTATGTCTTGATTTCCTCTTATTTTCTTTAGCTATCAAAATTATGATTTATAATCAACGTTTTTGTGAACCTTTCTCATGGGGAATACTTTTTATACACCTGTTGCCAACAAGATTTAGAAGTCATGAATTATTTCCAGAACAAATGATGTAAACAAGGATGTTAGCTGCAATGCATCATGACATGTGCCCTTTTTCAGACCACACAGTCACCCAGACACAGACAATAGGAAAGGAAGTCCTTAAGGTCACAGGGTCATATTTGCTTCACTGCTCAAACAAGGTAAGTTCACATTGAAAACAGTTTCTTTCCATTTGTTTGAACATCACCTCCTTCTGTGATAAAAATCCCTCCAATGCAGCTTTATAATACAAAACTTTTATTTCAAAACGTATAAAATCATTTGTTATTTTTCAAGACAAAACATGTTGTGAAGTGTAGAAAAAATTGAATTGCTGCATTGTTTGGCTCGATTATAACATTTTGAGTGGTGTAAACAGAAACACAATGAAAACAAAAGCTGTGGCAGTATCATTTCCTTTGTCAGGCAGCAGCTGACGGATTGGCTGACAGGCCAAATCTGTCTGAGAAAGACATTGAATCATTTACAGATCTCCCTATAGATTATAAGTTAGGCATTAACAGTAACTGCCACCCACACTTCCTTCCATCACTAATTAGAAACATTAATGGATGTAATTTTATATCTTTTAACCATCATTTCAGCTGTCGTTGGGAAGCCAGCGGAACCGATATCCTCCTAGCTGAGTCCTCGAAGTGAAAGCACGTCCATGACGAAACACCTGAGTCCTTATGGTGCTGTGTTCTCTCACAGACGTTCTGAAGGATGAGACACTCTCTTGAAGCTCTGATGCATCCATCGTCATGCTATTGTCTTTTGATATAGAAGTCTTTAGGCCTGAGAATGCACCAAACATGTGTATTGTCTCTGATTCCTGTGGCAGTCTTGTTCCAGTAGCAGCGTTGTGCAGGACGGCATTGCAGCGTGTGCTGACGTCTCTCAGCATGTCCTCCACTGTGTCAGAAGACTCTGTGTCATATCCTTCATCCAGTCGTTGACGCTTACAGGGACTCAGTGTAGTTTTATCACCACAAGGTTGTTCTCTTTGGTCCCTGACTGTCATCAGTTTCTGAAGACACACGTATATAGAGATGAATTCATACATAAGGGGTTAAAAATGGGTCCAGGATGAAACTGTGCAAAGGGTGTTTGGCTGTGCTTGTCTCAGCCATGAACTCACCTCAAGCACTGAGGCCAGGTGCTTAGCTCGGCTGGCCAGCTGTCTGAGGTGAAGGTTTCTCTCCTGAAGGCAGTCAATCTCTTCTTGTTGCCGGTGTAGAGTCTCGTGGAGCTGCAGGCACACAGACAAATATGTTGAGTCATGCTGAAGGGAATCATTACTCAAACAGAGGGCTTTACTTAATTGCATAACCAATGCATTTTGTTGTGTTTTGCCTTATTGATGTTTTTTAATGTAATTTTAATCATAACATTTGCTCATTGCTGGTTTACACAAACTCTCCTGTAAACACATTTCAACCAACTGGGAAAAATAAAAAAAGAATAGTCTCTTGTCCTGGCATCAAGTCTTTACACAACAGAAGGACCATGATTGAGTAGAAATCTGTCAATTGATTTATTTCATTATGTTCATTAGCAGGGCTGTGTGTAATCATCCAACAAATCTAAAATATTACCATTGCACCATTTAGATCCACCATAACACAAATCACATATGACTATTACCTTATCATGTGCACCACAGTTATCAAGTACAAAAGGAGCATATAGTTGTCACAGTGAAGTTTTACCTGATTGTTGACTTCCATAGAGTCTCCGAACGCCCTGCCTTGGCACTGGGCGATGCCTTGCCAGGGAGCTCCATCTTGGACAGATGGGTCGCTCGCTTCTGTGTAAGAGTGGCTCAGACTGTCTTCTGGAGAGAAATACTGCTGAGGGGGGAGGAGAGGTATGACACATCCCTGAAATGGCACCAGTTCAGCTGGAGACAGATTGCTCTCCAGCGTGGCAGGAGAATCTGACAGATAAACACACAGGGCTTCGGTCAACATGGGAGAATTTTAAGGATTTCCTCAATGTTAAAAATACGATAATAATAATGATGAGGATTAAGATGAAAATACACTAGCACATATTTAGGATTATATATAAATGCTGCATCTCCACACACTATTTGCTTTGCTTACCTGCCATGAAATCCAGTGCATAATCTCCAAAATCTTGGTCATCTGCATCAGATTCATTTACCTGTTGGCAATTGAAATGTACGATTAAATGACAAATTGTAGATTAAACACATAGTCGACAGATAAATCATTCATGCCCCTAACCTGAAAGTCCCACCACGACCAAGCAGGGTAATGTGGCGGTATGGCAGAACATGTAGGCCTATAGCTCGTCATTTCGGTAAGTGTTCCGTCGCGTGTTGTGATTTTAGTGTTGAGCTGTGGCAAAGAGGCAGCATGTGAACAAAATATGGGAGGTCCGGCCAATTAGCCGTAGTCTGCGTGTCATGAGCAAACTAGAATCTCATTCGTGCATAATTCCAGCACATCGTGTCAAACATTAACAGACGTATCCTGATGCAGATCTGCATCTGATTTATCACCCTTCTCTGGATGATCGATGTGTAAATGCGATGATAAATGAGGTGTCACAAAACCACAAGGTTTCTAAATAACAATAACACATTTATTTCTGATACTATTTACTATGTTTTTCGTCACCTGAGAGCAGAAGGAATCACTCTGCCGTCTCACCACAGACGCACAGTCTTCCAAATCATTCCATGCAATTGTGGATAAAGCTGTAACAAAAGAAGGGATGATCCATGAGTGAACTCTCGATCGAGCACCTGATGTAATTATAAGTACACGTGTTAAGGAAGTGCATGAAGTTAAACAGAGATGCACATACCTTGTTCAATGATGCACGGGAGCTCGACGTACACATTGATTGGACTGCTGCTTCTTGGCACCATCTTATCCTGCAGGTATAGCAAGTATATGTTAACACCACTGTCAAGAGCTGTGTGTGCATCATTCTAAAGAGAAGAATGTCATACCTTTCTGTTTCCTGCTGCCCTCCTCCCTTGTTGGCTCATTTGGTTTGGGCACCCAGCTCCGAACACCTTCATGTCTCTTTGCATCTTCATCAGCTCAGCTCTGCAGGACTGGGTGTTCGTGGTTTGATTTAGAGCTAATATAGACGAAATTCTCCCGGTTTGTGTCTCTCCATGCCGCGGCCTCATAGTTTTGGCCCAATCAAATGCACTTATTTGGTCTCCAGGGAGCGATGGCGTCCTCGGAGACTGAATTGGTGCCGACTAACGGTTTTTTCTGGTGTGAAGTGTAAGTGGTAGGCTACCGCGCGTAACGGCGCCATTACAGCAGGTGCTCTCTACAGACCTGCTCTCCCTCCTCCTGCGGCCAAATATCCCCTGCGCCGAGCCAGAGGCGTAAGTAGTGCCTGGCTTAATTTATCCACGTCTGTTTTATACAACAGCACACTGTAGCTGCCTCACAAGGCTGACCAGCCCGCCGCAAGGCCTTGTCTCTTATAGCCACATAATTCAGTGCGTATTATATTTAGGTCAAGGTCTATTGCAACATTTAAAGCAAAGTGGAAAAAGGAAAAGGACACTTATAGCAGACAGCTTAGTAAACACTCGTGACAAATACCTCTATTAGTAAACAAACAAGACTTGTTGACCCTTAACGCTGAATGCACCTGTGTGGTCGACACTGTGTCAGCAGGTCGAGATGCCACGCGTAATGGATTATCAGAGAAAGCCCCCTCAATTGACCAGGCTGTGTTGGCACAGGTCAGTAAATAGTGATGCAACGTCAAGTAAAGAGGGTGGTAAACTGGGGTCCGGGCAAACAGTTACAATAGCCAAGACCTAACCCCGCATTTGGACATATGTCAATCTATAATGGGCTCTTGTCATACTGATCATAAATATTACAGAGCAATAATTTATGCTAGTGAGTTATTGCTGCTGCTATTAAATCAAGATAAAGTGGACATCATCAACATTCCATTTTAAGTGTTGATTGTATATTTAAATTGCATGATCTCTCATTCATGCCAGTCAGTGTCATCCATGGACAGAGTTATATCAAATAAATGCCTTGTGGTTTTTCATGAGTTATGGCTCCACATTTTATAATCCATTCAGAGACAAAACGCAGATAAAATTACTGATATTTTATTTCATAATACAACACAACAATGAATCACAGTACAATATTCCAGATCCTTCATGTTGCAACAGTAACATATCTACTTAAATAGCAAAAAGCCAGAGCATACACAGTAAACGGTGACTGATAAAATAAAAATGAACAGAATATAATAATATACTTTATTGGTAAACATAACCCGTATCAGTCAAATAAATCTAACTATTATGCTGCATTAACATTCCTTCAGATCAACATAATGAGGTAAACATGAGGATTTGATTGTATAAACATCAGACTTCACTTTTTAACTTACAGTAACCTTCATACAACCCGCCCGGAGAATATAAATCCCAATGAGGAGGGGAATAAGTGATTTTGGTAACATTTGACTGGTGGCACACTTGTCACATGGCAGACATCATTTCCATTGTCTCCTGGTTTAATGACACCAACAGCAACAGGTTCTCTTTGCATTCCTGGGCTAGAGTGTGCTTCCCCTGACTCACATACAAGAAGTGGCCCTTTACTGCCAGAGAGTCTGCCTCAGATAGATCAGGGCTGTCAGATGGTTGGGTACATAGTTCATCAACAAAACAGCCCCATTTGTCCTGTAACTGGATGGCTGCATGCTCAACAAACCCTTGTTCTGTTGTCAATAACTCACTGGCTATCCTCAGTGCACAACTAGCAGTCAAAGATGGTGGATATTTGTTGAAAGCATAGTCTGCAAGGCTTAACTCGCACACCTTTTGTGCTAGGCTGCTGCACTGCCCGTATCTCTTTGTGTCTGTATTTGTTCTTTCAAATCTGCCACCACCTGTCTTCTCAGACTCAAGCTGGGCATCCTCAATGCAGTTGGTGTAATAGTCTAGGAAGAAGGCCAGTGTAGGTGCAGAGAGGCGGAAGTTGAGGCGGAGGAGGATGAGACACTCCAGGTTGCATAGCTGCTCCTTAGTGAAGGCGTCACAGCACATTGACAAGAGATGGCTGATCCGTGGTGAGAACACCTCTACCTGGGTAACACGGAGAAAAGAAGTGTTATAAATAAAACAAAATCCCCAAGTTTTTGTTCATAAAGCTTCTACAACAAAAATACATACCTGTTTGCTTGCTAGGAGGAGTGCAGTGACACCCAGTAGCTGGAAGCAGTCAGCAGCCACTGGTGTGGTAACCATGAACCTGTCCATGATGTTCACCGCCAGGCAGCAGCACTCAAAGGACAGATGGAGATGTTTGTGTACGGCGATGAGCCAGCTGACAAGCTTACAGCGTGCTTCTGTAGTCAACTGAAAGTAAAACACAGACTCCTATTAGAAACTGAAAGAAAATAGGATTTTAGTGAGCGTGACTTGAAGTTGCATCTGATTATCCCTTATAAATGTATTTGAAACCTTTTCAGCCGTTTAAATACAAGTCTTAATCCCGCATTCAGCAACTTTGTATTAATTTCAGGAGACTGATTGTACTGACAGCATAATCAGAGATATTAATAGCCTAGTAAACTATGGTTTGCAATGAAAAAGTAATCTCAATTGTCAAAGTTGGTGCCACATGACGAAACTTATATATAACGTTGACATATTGTGTCTGTCTTAACAAACTTAAAGGCAATGTTACCAATTATCTCAGGGGCATACTGTGAGCCAGATGGCAACATATTTTGTTTAGGATTGCAGGTGTTCATAGTTAATACAGGCTTACCATGGGGTTGTTAGAAACAAATAAAGTAAATAGAGACAGACAATAACCTAATTCATACAATTGGTTAAATAAATTACACGTTTTGAGTAATGGTTTCCATAACTGAATTTAAGTGCAATATGCTACAAAAATAAACTAACAAAAGACAAACATGTGTAATAGCATACTTGTGGCTGGCGTGCCAAGCTTTTGCAGGAATAAAACCGCGCCTCTTTGTCCATCTGAATCTTGAAACCGATGTCCCCGTACTGCAGGTACCAGTTAGACAGCCGACCCGAAGTAGGCTCGTCTGAACGCAGAGGAGACACATCTATCCGAGCCAGGGATGAAATCGGGGAGGACCCTAAATCTTCCTCGAACCCGGAGTCACTCAACTTGGACATGAGTGTCTGCTTCCTGTGCCGGGCAGGCTGCCTCTGATGGACCGCTGTGAGCGCTTCTTTTGAAGGAGATGCGCAAATGGTGCGTCTCCGTTTCGAAACAGTCTTGGATCCGTTCACAAATGACACCATGTCAATATAAGCGATATCTAACTGGAGCTTCTACTGGCTTTGCATAACTGAGGCCAGGTCTGACAGAGTAGCAGTCTCCTGGATGTTGCTTGTGGGATGGTGAGATGTTGGGTGAGGGGAGTCTGGTTTGCTGAGCCTACCACTTTTCCCGGGGCCATCCCCGCTCCTGCAGCGCACCCTTCTCCTGTCGCCTGGGCAACCGAGGCTAAACAATCACTTGTTCCAAGTAGAGTTAATTAAACCTTGAACCATATGGTATTGCTTGCTCTCTGCAGGCCTACTTCATGCTACAAAAAGGATTGGGCAACGTCAAAATGTAAAAAAACAACAACATGTTGGCTATACCCTGATGTTTCACTTTATGAATATCAAATCTACATTAACAAACAATGTAGCACCTGTGTGACTTTTTGAAATATTTTTTTTACAGGAGTTGCCTCATATTTCTCAATAAATAACTCAAAACCATATGTGCCTATATGTGTTGGATTTTAAAATGTAGGCTATTTTAAAATGTAGGCTACTTTTCTTGTTTGCATTAATTTTGGCCTAGGTTTTTTGATATGCACCATTAAACCAAAACAATATTTCTTGCGCTGTAATCAGATTGTTATTATGATTCTGTGAAATGGTGTTGTTAGTTGCACATAATACACACGTGAAAGGGTGTTGTAGTGTCATTGGCTACTTGCACATGATATAAATAGGAGATGTTGAGGTGTTCCGGTGTTCCACATGTGGTTAAATAATTTAAATGTATTATTTGTAAAAATATGGTTTTCCTACCATTTTTGTAGCAAACTGTTTTATCATATTCAGAGTTATTATTCTCAAAATAGTAGCCAAGTGGAAAACAATCGTGTCATTGTTTAAACAATGGCATTCCAGTAACCTCATCCACAACTGGTTTCAGACATTTTCTGGACTGTGCTTCAGATTGCTGAAGAGATGTAGGCCTACTTAAATATTAATGATACTTCTAACAGTTACAATTATATTGTCTACTAACATTCAGAGCGACCTGTCCTGGGTTTGCTGTGGGCGGAACTACAAAACGTCTACAAAACAGACGTACTGCATCTTTCAAACTCCAGTGCAAGACGAGCGCTTCAAGTATGCCCTCTGCAGACGTACACAAGGTATTTGAATGACTTTCTTATTCGTTGCAGATAATTTTGGCTTATATTTGACTAATCGCTGCATTTGACGCCGTTGCAGATTGAGCCGTTTGAAGGAAACTATGAAATAAACATGAATGCTAGCTGTTGTTAGCTGTGTAGCTACTACCGTTAGCTGTCCTAGCTGGTAAGCTAAATATGCAACGGTAACGTGAGCTGGTTGCGCTTTATATGTAAGCAAACGTTAAATAAGGTGACTAGCACTCATTTGTTGACGGTGGGTTAGCTACATGCGTGATGAAGTGATACGCCGTCAATTAAAGAAATAAGAAGAAGTAAGGTTACTGGGAAATCAGACTGCATACGCTAATGAGCTAGCTTGAGCTAACACCATGCAAAACAAGCTTCCGAAGTCCGCCTGTGTTAAGTTAGTTAGCTAACCTTAGTGTTTGCAATGTAACTTTAGTCACCTCAATCAACCCTACGGTGATGTTATACAAGTAAGATAGATGTTTGGTAAAATGAGAATCATCATGCTATTAAGGTTAGGTTTTCCACGGGTTTCACATCCGTAGTTTAGTACTGTCATGTGTCACAGCTACAATAAAAGTTAGTTAACGGTTAACCTGCGTTTTCAGTGGGACAATCAAGTTACACGGGTCTAAAATGACACAATTTATCATCAGATATCTGTTGGCTCCACTTACTAAGCTTGAAAGTGTAGCTGTGTTTTATTTAGCTGCAAAGTTGTGCAACAGTCTGGTCTGAAATACACGATGTGATGTGAAAGCTTTGAGCAGTTGCAATACAAATGCAACTAATACTTGCTTCTTCTCCAAAAGAAAGTGCATGTCGGAATGTTCTAAACATTTTGGAATTTTTTCATATTAACTGAACATTTCTTCCAGCAGTTTTAGCAAAAGTGAACCATGGAAAATTCAGGCAGGCCTTACCGGGGTAGGCAAGGCGGATGGGAGAGAGGAGCAGGAGCAGGAGCAGAGAGAGCAGAACCCTGGAGGACCCCGGATCAGGGTCGAGGACAGAATTACAGATCGGAGGGAGGCAAGAACCAGGGTGGACCCTACCGGGCCAGTCCCAAGAAGGGAGGAATGGGGCCCATGGGCTACTCCCCTGGTGGATTCAGAGGTGGTCACAGCCCCTCACAAAAGGATGACCCTCGGTGGTCCTCGGGTCCTGAGAACAGTGGTGGGACACGAGAGGAAAACTGGAGAGAGCGCTCCCAGCAACAATGGAGGAGAAGTAACCAGGGAGAAGGGCCAAGGGACGACCGGGAGCAGGGAGGGAGAGATGAAAATGATGGTAATGGTCATAAAGCAGGTGTGGTTTAATAAGCCAGAGTGGGACAGTTTTAAGATTATCCCCACTTAACCAAGTTATAATGCAGCCGACTCTATTGACACCTTAAAATAAGATGCTTCCTGATCCAGTTAAGAGTGATCAGTGCTAATAAAGCTTGAGTCTGACTGAAGGCTAGTACTCCATCATCCATGATGTACTATACAGATTAATGATAACTTCCACGAAACTTGTTTACCATGTGTATTTTTTCTTTCCAAAGGGAGGAGACGGAGAAACAGAAACAAGAATAGAGCTTATGCTGAAGAGAACATGGGCCCTCTGATTGACGAGTCCACACTCTCAGCCAAAGAGCTGCAAACCCTTCGACAGGCAGAGAAGCGGCTTAACAAAGATGAGATCTACAGCCTGAAGAAGGTACAGGATCTGTGTGATAACCCACGATTACAGTCTTATGTTTATACGCTTTCGCTGAAATTATAAATAGATAAAAATGTATCTGCAAATATTTGATAATTGATTCTGTAATCCAGTCATAATTCGAGCGGATGTGACAAAAAAAATGGGGTTTCCCCAGTTCTTATATGTGAGAATTTGCTGCTTTTCTTGATATTGCCGAGTTGCACATTTTGATATGTATGGTTATTAAACTGTTGGTCAGACAAAAAAGACCTTAAAATAATTTGTGTTTGGCCGTCTTTCCCTGTTTTGTGATGATTTATACCAAACGAACAGGCAATGCAAAAGTTGCAGCGCTAATGTGCTTTGATAGTTTTGTTTTTTGTACATGACTAGGACTACTTTATTTGAATTGTTTCATAAAGAATGTGTGAAGTCTTTATGGGGCACAGATGAGCTAAGAATATCCATTAAAAAAAGTCGCTTTGGATAAAAGCGTCAGCTAAATGCAATGTAATGTAATGTAATAAAAGTGTAACTATTGCAGCCTTTGTCTGATCGCTGAACTTTCCTCCTTCTTTCTAATGGTTCAGAGGTCCCACAGCAACCCCAGTGCACTTTACACCTGCTCTCTGTGTGACGTTCTGCTGGAGTCTGTGTCTGACGCTTACAGACATATCAGAGACAAACGGCACAAGAAGAGGGCCAGGGTAAGAAACAGTGTTATTATGCAAATCACAGTGATGATTATAACGGTAAACATTTGTAGGCGGGTGATGCTAATGTACTCTCATGGGACTATTATTTTGCACTTAAAATTGTGTTGATGCTCTTTTTTTCCCTGTTTGTTTATAGGAGAGGCAAGAGCAGGTGATGCTCACTGAGATTCTGCCTCCTGGTCCAGAGCTGATCAGTGCAGTGAGTGCAGCATTAGAGGAGGTTGTCCGGGAACATGGGATGAATGACCAGGATGTTGAGATGAGACAATGTGTTGTCTCCATGATGCAAGACCTCCTTCTGTCCGTCCTGCCTGGTAGGTCACCTGGGGATGAAATATGTCTTAGGTAGCCATGAGACGTGACCTGATTCCTTCATGAGTGGTGATTTTGCTTTGTAGAAAGCAAGCTGTTGGCTCTTATGCTTTACTTAAGTTTATTATTTTTAGGGCCGGGACTCGATTAAAAAAATTAATCTAATTAATTAGAGGCTTTGTAATTAATTAATCGAAATTAATCGCATTTTTAATCACATATAAATATTTGACCTGAGAACAGTGAGAAGCAATTTTTTTCACATGGATTTTAGTATACCATTATGCGCATTCACACCGCAGTACTTTTCCCACAAAGGTTCATGAGAACTTAGTTCATGAGAACTCTTTGAACCTGGGGGTGGATTAGGCAAATGAAGCCGCTGACGTCACTTCTTCTTCTGCTTTGGGTTTACTGGCAGGCCGCAAACCACTTCACGGCGTATACTGCCGCCCAAAGTCCCCGGCCGGAAGTCCCCGGAGTTGGGGACTGGCTTCAGTAGAAGCTGCTGGGAGTTCCAGCAGCCTTCCGAGTAAATCGCCAGAACGCCGACACCTCCTCATCTCCACCGCTCCCATGTTTTATGTTGTGTTGCCATAAGTTAGTCTCTCTGCGTTTCTGCGCTGGGCTAATGCTAATAATGCTAATGCGAGGATAATAAAATGGCGGCTTCACAAAACTTTTTGGGAGTTTTACCGGGCGTGGTTTGCAATCCGCCCAGCCAATCAGAAATATAGCTCTTTTCTCACAAGAGAGCCGTACGAAAGTCCCTGCTCTCTAGCAGCGCTCTGCTCTCTAGCAGGGACTTTCGTGGGGGTAAAAAGGTTCTCATGAACTAATTTTAGTACCGGCTCTTTTTGGTGTGAACGCGATAAAAGAGGCTAACGTCCACGCTAGCTTCCACGCTAGCTGCTATATGTTTTGCATTGAGGTGATACTTGAGGCTTGATGTGCTGCGGTGATATGCGAATTCCTTTTTGGATAATTTGCACACAACCGTGCTCTTATCGACGCTTCCATCCGTCCGTTTTTTAAAACAACATTTCCCACTGTTGTTCACTGTGGTTTGTTGTTGTCTGAAGTCATGAACGTTAGTTGGTGCTCCAGTATAATCGGTACGCCTGAAACTCATCCAGTGAGAAACGTTCCGCGGTGCAAAAATAAGTGCGATTAAAATGCGTTAATTTTTTTAACGCGTTAATTGTTGTGTAATTAATTAATCTTAATTAACGCGTTAAAGTCCCGGCCCTAATTATTTTGTGATGTACATTCTAATGTTAACAACTGTATTCCCTCTCTTTCTATCATCTGTAGAGATCAGGCTCAGGCTATATGGATCCTCCTGCACCAAGTTTGGATTTAAGGATGCTGACGTCAATATTGACATTCAGTATCCGGCTCATGTGAGTAGCCCAGTGTGATTTCAACAGTGTGAATTAGAAGTGCAACGGATCATAGAACTTGCGCTTCACATCATGTTGCATAATTTTTTTTACAGTTTTTTGGCTCGGCTGAAAGAAGGCTGCTAGAATAACCCTTTAAACAATTTTCCTGAAAAGTGAAACTATCCCAAATTGTGTACAAAAATGTAAATATTATGCAACATCCTTAATGCATTAATGTCCTCTATAGTGGTTATGTACATAAAGATACACAATTAAAATGATTAGTGGAATGAATATTGTGCAGTTTGAAAAGACTGCAGCGGTTCAGAATTGTTCATATTGCTGTTGGATATTCATTAACACCACTATGACTTCATGATAATGAATTGTATAGTTATGAAAATATTTGAATCGCTATTATTTTGCACCTTTTCTATATTGTATATCTGTATTAAGACTAAAAGTGGAATGTATTTTCAGATGCATCAGCCAGACGTCTTGTTGCTGGTCAAGGAGAGCCTCTCTGTGAGCCGTGAGTCACCTCTTTGTTTATTTAAGCGCAATATTTGTCTTTGTTAAAACCATATCAAACGTAATGCCAGACTGTCATGGAAGTTTTAAATGGAACATGTCTTGTTGTGTTCTCAGCTATTTTCGTTGACATGGAAGCTGATTTCCATGCCAGGGTGCCTGTGGTCATGTGCAAAGAGAAAAAGAGGTTGGTATAGATTTGCTTGTCCACTTCATGTGTTAAACTCTGAATGATCTTTTGTTATTCCGTTTTTTCAGGACGTTATGAAACTACAGGAATGCGTTTTCTTACATGTAAAGAGAGAAAAAAAATGGATTGACAACTGTTCATATCAGGGTTACATTACAACACACACATGAGCAGTACATTGAAACTTATCTTTTCTCAACAGTGGCCTGACCTGCAGAGTGAGTGCTGGGAATGAAAACGCATTCCAGACCACCTCCTATCTTTCTGCTCTGTCCAGTCAGGAGCCCCTTCTCCTCCCACTGGTTCTGGGCCTAAGACGCTGGGCAAAGGTATGTCTCTGCAGTTGTGACACTGTTAGCTCATATTATACACACAACAGAAAATAATGGTGTTTTAAGCCTAACATTCTTTGGTAAAACATCATATCTCTTCCCGGCTTAGATCTGTGATATCGACCGTGCAGAGGAAGGTGGGCTGCCCCCGTACGTCTTCGCCCTCATGGTTATCTACTTCTTACAGCAGCGCAAAGAGTCCCTCTTGCCAACCTACCTGAAACAAGAGGTCTGCTTTTATGTTCACCTTTAGCTTGAAATGGAATATAGAGAAATAATATCAGTATTGGTCATTTTTGTAGTTTAATCTAATCACCTGATTTTCTTCATTTTTTTTAGATTAAGGTGTTTTCACTGAGCAGGCTGTCGGACTTCAACCTCACACACACAGAGGATGGTCACGTACACTGGGCTTACACCCCTGCCTCTAAAGAACAGCCAGCAGAGGGCTCCTGTATTAAAGGAAAGGTAACCATGACAACACTTCCTAATTTTTTTGAAGTTTGTGATAACAATTGTTTAGTTTTAATGATGAATATGCTGTTCCTAGAATTTTTTTTTTTGTATCATTGATTCACTACTGTAAAGGCTGGAACTTTATATAACCATGGGTTTCATAGTATGATATTTTTAATCCGCTCTCACTGACACCTGAAAGTGTGTAATATGTGTGATTTCTTGCAGGTTTCCCTGGTGTTCCAGAGCCCTCACCCGCCAGTGGAAGTTGGGCTTCTCTGGGTGGAAATGCTCCGCTTCTACTCACTGGAGTTCGACCTGGCTGATAAAGTAATCAGTGTGCGGACCAGCCCTGTCCTCTCTCGAGAGCTGAAAGACTGGCCAAAGAAACGTATCGCCGTGGAGGGTCAGAATCTTTCTTATTTTGTAGTCTGAATTTAGGTTTTTGCACTAAAATCACTATTAGAGCCACGCTAATTCCATGGTTGAAATAAAGAAGCAGCGAGTAAAAGATATTCCACTGTGGACTATTAGTGTGGTTCTGGGATTTTGTTGACTTTAGAGTTGTTACTATGATTCTATAACATTTTTAAAAACTCTTGTGTTTACTATTTATAACTCTTACAAGGTTTAACTTTCAGTACTATCTCCGTTTCTGTGTTCAGACCCATTTTCTGTGAAGAGGAATGTGGCTCGCACCGTGAACAGCCAACAAATGTACGAGTACATCGTCCACTGCCTCAAGAACACCTACAAGTACTTTGCCCTGCCACTCAACACGCCAGCTGCTAATGTCAAGACAAAGGCACAGCGTGGAGGGGCAAACGCAGAGGCTTCCAATGCATCGGATATCACATCAGATTTCAGTGAGCTCAGCGTCCAGTCACAACCTGCAGATCAACCTAAAGCTGGAGAAAACGGCCCTGAAGACTCCGATTGCATTATTGAAGAAGAAGAGGAAGTTGAAGAATTCAGTGACTCGGATGAAGAACGAGAGAAGGAAAAAGTTGACCAGGGTAAAAGCAGTCTCTCTGAGGATGAAGAGGATGAGGATAACAATGAGGGTGCACATAGCAGACATCACTTGGACAGCTTCACCACAGAGGATGAGGACATTTTTCCCGTGGACGAGATCTCAGGGGACGAGCTTTTGTCTGATGAGGAGGGTCCGGATCTGGACACACCGGGTTCAATGGATGACGAAGAGGTGGATATGGAACCTGTGAGCCCCTCACCAGCAACTTTATCAGAAGATGCAGTTAAGGATCAGAGCGCAGAAAATAAAAAGCAACAGAAGAAGAAGCAGACCTATGTGTTCACCAAGCAAGCGTTCACCAGGGGAAAGGTAGGTCTTACATTTGTATTAATACATTCCACTTTTGCAAGCAACATTCTTAATGTAAGGGAAACTTCTGCAGCAATGGAGAGTCAGGACTCAGATAGACACGAGGAGAGTTGGAACTTTGATGTCAAACACTGATATGTAATACAAGTATCGGCCGGAGAAATTCACATCACAAGTCACACAGTCAAAGGTTCTGACTGCACGGGTTGGTTGCCATGTCAAATCTGATCAGCCTCGCATCTTGGTAGACCCTTTAACTAGTTTACAGAGAGTCAAATCCACATATTGGGGATGGGCGTAAACACAGGAGATGTCTCTCACATCTGTGGTGCTTAGAAGCCAGCGTTCTCATAGTCGTAAAACCTCCCCTGTGCCCGCTAGGTCAGGCCATAAAACCTGGTACTATCAACATACGACTGCATTATCACATTCCTTACGGGAGATTAGAAGCAGGGTTGGTCGTAAATGTCAACACACAGAATAGATTAAATATCTAGGAGTAAAGACAGAAATATTCTTTGACACTTAATATGTATGAAAATGAATACTACATTTCAAACTTAAGAGCTTGTGTCCATCATCTAGGCTTAACTTCTCCCAATCTCCCTTAGTCCCACATGGTCGTGTGCAGTTTGTGCAAGCGCGACGGACATCTGAAGAAAGACTGTCCCGAAGATTTCAAGAAAGTGGAGCTGGATCCTTTGCCCTCAATGACACCAGAGTTTCTCGGTGTCCTCAACAAAGTCTGTGAACAGTGCCTCAGTGAGTATTATGTGATTTCAGAAATATTAAGAGATGATGAGATTATTATTATTATTGGATGGATGTTATTGTGATACCAAATACTTTTCTTCTTTTGGGTGAGGTTTGAGTCGGATTCAGTAAATAGTTGCATTCATATAAAATAAGTCAAACGTATTATTGATGTTTGCACATGTTTCCTATGACATCTTCTTCATTTCACTTTGGGGAAATCATTCAAATAAAGTGTAGGACTTGGGTCAGATCTGAGGATGACTCTTTATTTTCTTCTTCTTTTTTTAGCTGACTTCGCCCCTGATGAGCTGGAAGTGGGTGTTAGAGAGCACATCCTTCAAGACCTGGAGACCTTTGTCAGGCGGCAGTATGCAGGTGAAGGAAACCTCCGTCTGCACTGTTCAGCGTCTTTCATTTTGTACAATTTAAACTAGCATGACACTGCATTTCGTTTACTTTCATATTAACAACTCGTATTTTGGAACAGAATGCACTGATGATTAACTCAACATGTTTTCTGACGGACAGGAGCCCGGCTACAACTGTTCGGTTCATCAAAAAATGGCTATGGCTTCAGGCAGAGTGACCTAGACATCTGCATGGTGCTGGAGGGGCAGGAGACAATGGATGTAAGCTATCTGTTTAATTATAGGATGTCATTTTTGAAAGTTATTTAAGTGTGGTGACATGACAAATGTCCTACTTTCAGAAAAAATAATTTTGGTTGGTAGACAGTGTTTCTGCTTTAATCATTGAGGAATAAACACGATGAGGTCGGTGGATGTTGAAGTTATTGGTAATGGTGAATTGTCATGAGGTTTATTGTAATCTCTAAATCCATCAAAAAGTAATGATTTTCATCAATTGCTTCCACAGGACATTGACTGCATCAGCATAATCGAAAGCTTGGCGAGGATGCTGAGGAAACACCCAGGTTAGAAAGATGCTGATTTATTTTATTATGTTTAATTTGGTGAATAAAGTACTTTTGTTTCTATTGTGAGGTTATATTAACAAGCCATTTTCAGAAGTAAAAATGCAGAGTGTCAATGCATCCTTTTACACGTTTCCATATCTGCACCCCGTCACCAGGCCTGAAGAACATCCTGCCCATCACCACAGCAAAAGTGCCCATCGTGAAGTTCTACCATGTTCGCACCGGCCTGGAGGGTGACATCAGCCTCTACAACACTCTGGTGGGGCTCTTTCTTCTTTCCATCTGTTTCCTGTATACATTTGCTATTGAATAACTCTCGTATTCAAATAATGGCTTGCCAAACTTTTTGTTTAGGCCCTGCACAACACACACCTGTTGGCTTCCTATGCTGCCATCGACAGAAGAGTGAAGATCCTCTGTTATGTCATGAAGGTTTTCGCCAAGGTGAGTGTGGCGAAGACGTGTTTTGTATGTCTTTAGGGTCATATATTTTATTTTTTAACTTCCTCCTGACTGCTTTTCTGTTTTGTTTTGTTTCTTTTTGGCTTTGTTTTTGTTTTGTTTGTCTACCCTCCCTCCCAAATGTAAAGCGTCTTTGGGTTCAAGAAAAGCGCGATAGAAATAAAATGTATTATATATTACATTGTTTTACTGTATCACCATACTTTTTTGTTTGTCCCATTACAGATGTGTGACATTGGCGATGCTTCACGCGGCAGTCTCTCGTCCTACGCTTACACCCTCATGGTGCTGTTCTTTCTCCAGCAGAGAAACCCACCGGTTATCCCGGTGCTGCAAGAGGTACAAGTGACATGTTTGTTAAAAAAAAGAAATGGGTTAAAATGTATGTTTACTTATTACCAGAGGTGTGGACTCGAGTCACATGACTTGGACTCGAGTCACCAGTTTGATGACTTGAGACTCGACTTGACAAAATCACAAAACACTTGCGACTCGACTTGGACTTGAACACCAATGACTCGGGACTTGAGTTGGACTTGAGCCTTCTGACTTGAGGTGACTTAATAGCCTACTTTAATTCAGGCTCCAACACGCCGATCGCGAGATGCCGCTAGAAGAGCAGACTCCCGTCGGGGAGAGCAGAATCTTCAGCCGCTCCTACGCTTGCTGAGAATCCTTGCAGGCAGGGGCGGGTCTTTATTTAGCTGGGCCACCATGCGTCCAATCATATGTGAGGACACACTAGGATCATACCATTATGTGAAAGAAGGGTGAGGGGCACAGCAGGTGTAGTGGTACAGGCCTGCTGCACAGGGAGACGGATTTAAATGCAAGCGTGTCGGAAAAAGTCAAGAAATTTGCTAAACTGAAAAAAGAAGCTGCATTTGAATGATATTGGAGAAAGCAAACTGAGTGCAGGATTTGTAAAATGCAAATAACCTTAGGAGCAGGTTTTTTTTTTTTTTTTGTATACCACTCAGGATTTATTGTCAGAGGTGGGGGAAGTTCAGATCTTTGAGTAAAAGTACCAGAGTGTAGGAATACTCGGTTACAATAAAAAGTCCTGCATTCAAAATGTTACTCGAGTAAAAGTAGAAAAGTATTAGCATCAAAATATACTTAAAGTACCACCTGCAGGTGTTCTTTCCCCCGTAGAGACCGCCTCGCTGCACATTATCCCTTGCATAAAGATAGATTGTGGGTCCCTCATAACATGTTGTACACAGTGGAAATAAACATTCTGGTTACCTCAACATCAGGGATCTTATCCATTAAACTCCTTCGGAATCAAACGTCACGGTAGCCTTACCTACTGATCTCTCTTCAAATAGAAAAAAACACGTTACTTTACCAGCAGAGAGAAAATTGATTATTAATGTGACTAATAAAGAGCAGTTTGATTATTAAGTATTATTCTGTAATGTATAGATGTCATTACATTTGATGAAAAGCACATAATGACTTGTTTAAGACTCATTTTGTCAAAGTTTAGGACTTGAACTTGCCCATCCTGACTTGAGACTTGACTTGGACTTGAGCGCAAAGACTTGAGACTTGACTCGGACTTGCAAAACAATGACTTGGTCCCACCTCTGCTTATTACCCTATCCCACAAACTTAGATCAATGTGTAGGAATCTAAACTACCTAAAATCGCAGACTTACTCACCCGTTTGAATTAATGTGATATTTTGCATCCCAAACGCCACAAGATTACAGGCTTTTTTTTCAAGCTAGACTGAAGCATTTCTTACATTATTCCCAAGACACTCTACATTTTGAATTTCTCAACTTTTGTTGCAGATTTATGATGGAAAGAAGAAGCCGGAGGTGCTAGTTGATGACTGGAACGTGTACTTCTTTGACGATTTAAAAACGCTTGTGAGTGTTTTGGATATTAACATATTGTGTCTTAGTGCCTCTGTGAACATTTTTGTCAATATGCATATCACAGCGTGCCCTAAATATAGACCAATCCTGTCCTTTGCCACCTGCAGCCCAGTCGCTGGCCACAGGGTGGGAGGAACACTGAGACGGTGGGGGAGTTGTGGCTCGGCCTGCTCCGCTTTTACACCGAGGACTTCGACTTCAGAGAGCAAGTGATCTGTAACCGTCTGCACAGCTGCCTCACCACCTTCAACAAGCAGTGGACGTCCAAATACATCGTCATTGAAGGTCAGCTCTGGGTCCAGACTTGTACAATTAAATTATAGCGCAGAATCATGAGTATTATTCCACTGGGTAGATGCAAGGGAGTTTTTATCCTGGCTTAAACACCATCAAGTGTAAATAATAGTTTTGTCACTTTGGAATCATTAATAAATCCTGCTGTCTATCCAATTTGTTAACTCCACATCACTATTACCTATTAGTATTGTGGAGTTTGTTTTCTGAATTCAAAGGTTCTAGAGGCTTCTTTGAAATATCTTCTAATTTGTTTTGCTTTCCCTCCTCTGTTCAAATCCCAGATCCGTTTGACCTGAATCATAATCTCGGTGCTGGCCTGTCCAGGAAAAGTATGCTTATTTCTGTCTGTATCTACTGTTGTCTCAATGTCTTTGTCTCTGGTTGCTTATCTAATATGATGGTTTTTTTTCACCAAATCAGTGACTAACTTCATCATGAAGGCCTTCATCAACGGCAGGACAGTGTTTGGCACACCAGTCAAAGCTTTCCCTCCTGCGTACCCCAGCAAGATGGTTAGTGTTTGCTGTCTGAACTCTACATTTGCAGGTTTTGGTGCACTTGCCTCAGGTTTGCCTCACAATGATTTGTTCTTATTCCTCCCAGGAGTATTTCTTTGATCCTGAAGTCCTCACTGAGGGAGAAGTGGCTCCAAATGACCGCTGCTGCCGCATCTGTGGCAAGATCGGCCACTTCATGAAAGACTGTCCCCTGCGCAAAAAGTACGTATAATCACAGGTCTGATTTGGCCCTGTGATGATAAATGTTTTTTCTTCACCATCTATCGTGCTACATGTTTTTATAATATTTTGGATAATTGTATCCCAGGTCCAGGCACAGAAGGGACTCTGAGAAAAGGCCAGATCACATGAGAGACACAGCTGAGGACGGCAAGGACCAGGGCAGACACAGGGGTGAGCACTGGAGGAAAAGGGATGCACAGGAAGTGCGCTGCTGCTTCCTGTGTGGATCAAGTTCCCACATGAAGAAGGACTGTCAGCTGTACAGAAGCCCTGCAGGTATGATTCTTTTTTCTATGGCATTAAGGCCTTCCAAAATACATTTGTTTTAACTCCATAGTTGAACTTGTTAGTTAATGTCCTTTGGTTTCTATTGCATTAAGAAATATCAAATCTTATGCATTGATGTTGTTAATAAAGATTGAAAGGGCGCAATTGAGGCTTCTTCTTTTCATTTGGTAGGAAATGCCAGGATGGATGGCTTTTCTTCTACCTCTTCAGGCCACTTGAGGAATGTGAGAGAAAAGGAGAGACAGGTATGATATCAGATTGTCACAGCCAATGATTCATATTCTTGAAACATGTTTCTTCTAACAGAGACAGCTTATGTCCACTACTACACCTGTGCCTCTGTGTATCTCCCCTTTTCCAGGGTTCACCTTTACAAGAAGAGAAAAAGAAGAGAAAACCACAGAATGTGATATTAAGTCCACAAGCGGGTATGTACAAATTGCTTAAATGTTTAGATCCTTAGGGAATCAACGTTTCATTCTGATGGTACCAATGTGTGAATGTATAGGCTAACTAATTAAACAGTGATTGGAAAATGTATGAAGTACTCCTCTTCTACCAGAACGCATTATGGGGCTGCTTTCTCTTGAGCACACATTGTCAGACCATATGTGACCCGCTCTATCGAAATCAGTCGGAAGTCGCAACGGCTCATTTCAAAATAAACGTGGATTTGCATAAAAAACTATTTTTTCGGGGTTCCTGTGTTTTGTTTGATTTTAAATAAACAAAGTCTTGGCTTTCAGAATATGAAACTTTTATTTCCAAAATCACACGATAAATACATGTTTGAAGCTTGTAAAGGGACGAAGACAGGCACCTCTCATTCGCAATCTGCTCTTCCGCAACGCCGCCCCCCCTCCCTCCGGCTGACATTATGAATGTACGCATATAGTAATCATAGATAACACGGCAGGGTCCGTTACAGTTTGTTTTCATCTGATTTCAATTAAACAAAGTCTTGGCTTTCAGAATATTAAACTTGTTTCGGAAAATTCAGATGATAAATACAGCTTTGAAGCTTCGGTATAATTACAAGCGGAGAACAGAGTGATTTAACGTCACAGCAGGCATAACAACAGCTGGTGTTTCTTGTGAGGGTTTTCCCCGGGAAACAAACACAATACACACAAATGCAAAATTACACATGTATACACACACACTCGCGAGCTTCCCCCAGACCAGTAATCCAAACGAAAATATCTTCCCTTAGTAGTATTTTGATCATTTGCTCCGCTAACAATCAATCAGATCGATGGATTCCAGAGAAGAGGAAACTTTAAAGGCCTTTTTCTCAAAATTATGACTCTGTGACAGTCATTACATAATGTGACATATTTTGCTTAATATTTGGAGTAGAACAACAATCCTGATATCATTAGAAAGCTAGGAATATCCTCTTTCCAACAGTGTATACAACTCAAAATGTGTCTTCAGGTCAATGCGACTGATTTCGATAGAGCAGGTCACATATTTGCTTTATTTTTATTCTTACACCCCCGGTGATTAATTTAGGGAGACAAAGTGCTCTGTACTTTGAGCAGATATTGGTCTCAGTAAAAACTGTTGACAGTGTTTGGTTTTTTATTTTGGTCCACTTTCTTAGGGCTGTTGAGAAGAGAAAACGAAAGCAAGAAATGTTTGAAGCAGGTTCAGGTCTATCTATCTTCCTCTGAACTCCAGGTGCTAAAGATTAGCATTTTGTTCCTGTTGTGTTCAGTTGCTTTCTATATAGTCAACATATTCTTTATGCCATCTAACTTGTAACCTGAAATGTTTTTTTGCAAATAAAGCGTCAAATAAAGAAAATCCAGCGTTCAGTTTATTAGGTTGAGGCATTATGTTCTGTTTTGTTATTTAGCCTGATAAGATGGATGTTTTTTTTATTTTAATAAAATGTGTTTTTGAATACATTTTGACAATTGCTTTCTGGTCTGTTTCAGGTAGTTTAGCCTCCCGAAATGCGGGTCGCTCTGGTCACAGGAAGAGTCCGGTGGAATGAGCTGCAGCTGTGGCTACACAAGCCAGGGACTCTACTCTTGTCCAGGCAGAAAGCAACCCAAAGTCTCAGAAACCATTGAATCTCAATGGGACTGTTGGGCCAATGGGAGCCTGTTAAAAGCCAAAGCCAGGACGCCTTGACTTGAAGCCAAATAGGGCCTTTTTACGTGTTTCACCCCCCCCTATCCCACCCCACCCCAACCCAACCCAACCCAACCCAACCCAAAGCTGTCCTCCCTGGAGGAGCTTTTTAAAGCTGTCCTCCCTGGAGGAGCTTTTTAACGCTTTCCTTTTAACAAGAGAAGCCATTATGCATGCACCTCATGTCTGTTTGCCTACACTGCCAGTCAAGTTTGTTTTATACTTATTACATTTCAAACAGTTACATTGCGGATTTAGTTTAGAATCTCTTAAATTATAATAAGTAAGTTATTTAGAGGTGTCAAGTTCATGTCTAATAGTTAATTTTCTCAACGTAATAGTCCATATTTTGTAGACTACAATACATTTGTGCTATACTTGATGCTAACCTTTTTTTGTCAGTATTGGCAATTGTCCTCACAGTAAGGTAAGACCAAGTGTCCGTAAGCACTGATACAGCTGTAACACAAAGGGTCATGGTTTAGTGTTTTGACTGCTACCTTAAAGCGACTTAAGCTCAGTTTAGCTCACCTCAAATGTTTGAGATTCTACTCAAAAAATTACAGTAAAGGTTATGTGAAAATGTTCATTGGCAGTGTACGTAGTGGCAAGGATCTTTTTTATTTTTTTAACCACATTTTCTTTGAAATCCTGTTTATTTGTCCTGCACTGGCGTCCATCAGTCCGTCTCTCCTTCAGTCTAGCAAATCTATCGAAAGTTTTTATGTTGGAGAAACCACCCTGTACATATGTTTTCAGGATCATAGTTTTATTTTTGGTGACTGCTGATCCACCCCTATTACATAGATACATGCCCCTCAACTGCCTATGTTAACAGAAGGACAGTGAAACTGTGCTGTCCTCTGTTTATCCTGACCTGTATGTGTCACCACAAATGCTAGGAAGCATTGTAACATTAGTGTAAGAACATAACGTTGAGAGAGCATGACCACAAGTGTCATGCTTACACAAAACTAGAGGTAATCTCAGTTAAGTGAAGACATAAATGTATTTATTTACCACAAAAGCTTCATTTTTTTGTAATGGTGCCACATATTGGTAGCTGCACTGTGTGAGGGTACATGCCCTTAAATTATGTTGCTGCTAGTTTAATGTCTCAAAGACCTGCTTATCATTCAACTTCAAAGATGGACTATCTGGCTTTATTGTTGTCCTATAATGGCAACATTTTTATTAGAAAAAATGTGTTGTTGGTGGTATTGTAATCAAACTTTCTCATTTTAAAGTAGCTTTGTTTAAATGCCAGCTTTATTGGATATCTTTTGTTGGGACTCAATGAGAGGTTTAGTTTGTTTTTAAGTAACCCCAATCCTGCCAGGAAAAGTCGGCTTGCAATCCAGTTTGTGTCTCAAATAACTCATTAAACACAAAATCCAAACCCAGTGTGGAATATTTTTTTAATACAATTGTTTTGTCTCAAAACAATAACTCTATATCAAACTGTCAATGCATTTGGGGAACTGATAAAATGGGCAACACTGATATCGAACCATGGTAACAATTTGTTTTTCCTTCCGTCTTTGCTTACTACATTTTCGCCAATACAGCAGCTAAATAACACCATCTGTCACAATAATGTATTTTACAATAAACTGGACTGGTTGTGTTATTACATGAGTAATTATTTGATTATTCAGTATTATTATATTTTTGTCAGAAGTAGTAAAGTTGGTACAAGCTAGTCACTGTCATGATGTTAACAAGAAGACTTGTTTGCCACAAACAATTGAATTGCCCAACGGAGTATGTGTAAGTTATGTATCGACCTTGGAAACTTTGGGTAGGCAAACAACGCTGGTTTAAAGTAATGTTTTATGAAGTACCTCATTGTACACGAATACAACGAAACGATCCACTGAAGTGCCCACAGACGCATAAAGTAGTAACATAGGTTACACAACGAATAGATGTTTATCAGTGAACCCATTGGCTGAAACATCTGTCCGTCATAGTTTTAGCCAATCGTTGACGGTCTGTTTATTTTGGACGGTTGGCAATTTTCTTACGCGCTTACGCAATTCAATGTTGTGATTTTACTGAAGCAACATGTCTGCCTCCGTGGTGCGAGCGACCGTCCGAGCGGTCAGCAAAAGAAAGATTCTGCCTACAAGAGCCGCACTGACACTGGTAAGACATTAGCTTTGTTAATAAACGCACATTAAACAGTTTTCTTCGCATTCAATACATGTTAATACACAAAGTGTGGCGTTAACATCCTGCGACCGTGAACGTTACGTGATCCAGCATTAGGTAAGCTAGCTAACCTTCTGTCACTTGAACGCTCCACGCAGTATAGTACAACTATGAGTACAACCTTTACCGAGCTTTCCTGCAACATGACAACATGTCCGCTTGTTGATGTTCCTATATCTGTTTTAGCTGATGTTCACACAAGGGTGGTTATACAACCACTCGGTCCTAAGAATATAACTGGCCTTGGCTGAACTAGATGCTAACCTTTGCTAAGCTAAGTTGTTGGGTAATGTGCTTTGGACACCTTTGTTCAGCTAGTTAGCCGCATATGAATATTTTGACATCTATAGAAATCGTTAGGGAATTGTTGGTATCCAAGTGGGCAATATGTTATAGATGTGAGCAGATCTGATGGGTGATTTATTAAAGTTCAGAGTAAACGAGTTGAGGCGATGGGGCACAAGGGCTTCCTCAATATTCAATATGATGTTAATCCTATGGTAAACTCATGGAGCTGGTCTCTCTTAACACTTTCAAGTGCTGCTTAATGACCGAGAAGAAGAAAATGCTGTCTGTAGATTATTTTTACGATGTTTAGATGTTTGTTCTGTAATGGTGCTGCTGCCTATCTTGGCCAGGACTCTCTTGAAAATCTCAACGAGACCTTCCTTCTTAACTAAAGCTGAAATACAATTTTTTTTTTAAAACAAACGGCTCAATCATTGCATGTTGATCTCGTCAAACCCACATTTACTGTCACTCTTCACTGTTAGCTGACGGCTAAAGGACATAATCGTTTGTGGCAGATCACACAATGTTGTTTTTAACTGTAAACTAATAGATTCAGGGGAGCAATGTGTCAGTGCACAGTGACTGTTTGTTATAATGGGCGGGATGACACTGTGCTGGTGTTGAAGATCAGCCTGGCGAGCTCTGCTGTTGGTGTTGTTGCCAGATAATGTGTGCACTGGTGATCCGAGCTGATACAAGATAGAGTGCCGAAGTTTGGTCATTATACAACTGGCTGTCACACATTTGAGATGAGCTTTAAGAGATTCATTAGCACTGTGTGGCTAATAAGATAAGATACGATGGAACTTTATTTATCCCCTTGGAAATTCATTCGTTTATAGCAGCAACAGTGTCAGAATGAAAACCAGGATTCACACAAGGTAAAGATAGAATACAAACAAATAATAATACAGCTAAAGTAACTATTGAAACAAGATATCACAGTAAAAAGTTGAACATGTTAATTATATTTACATAATGTCCACTCAATTGCACAAGGGGCTACAGGGGTGTGTTGTATTGTTATAGAGTGTTGGTACTTGCCTGGGCAACAGAATATTCTCACAGTGGGGAGCAAAACTATTCAAAACAGTCATAGAAACCTACACCTGCACCATGGACTGTATGAAGCACATTGAGCAAAAGTATGACAAACAAAAAACAGTTACCGTTTTTTAAACAAAAGCACTGCTTCCATTACATGTCACTTGTTAGACACTTTTATCCAAAGCGACTTACAAACTCAATACTGAGGACAATCCCCACAGGAGCCCTTTGGGGTGAAGTGTCTTGCCCAGGGACACAACGACATGCTGACTGCAGTGGGGTTTGAACCTGAGACCCCCTGATCCCAACACCAACGCACAACCCACTGCGCCACACACCTCCCATCTGAATCCAATATTGTATTAACCTTTTATCTTCTATTCTGTTTCCTTTAGACTCCAGCAGCTGTGAACAGGATCAGTCTTCTGTTGAAGAGCAAGCCTGGATTTGTAAGTAACTGATACGACGCTGAACATCATATTGTCAGACAAACAGTGCTGCCACAGGGTGCTGTGTGGTTTTAGGATTACATTTTCAATTTACAATAAATCAAAAATAATGTATACTTAACTTCTTTTGAATAGTTGTATCGGACTGTGTTATCTTAACCTTATATATAATGGAATAATTAGGTTAATCACCTTTTTCCCTTCCTATGTGTGTTTTTTAGGCAACATATCTCTTGAAGTAGGATTTTAAAGAACTTTAGTGATATCAAGTGGCAGCAGACGATCATTAAACATCTGTTATTCCACACTGAATTTATTATTTTGCTGTTACCAAACTTGGCCACATTCGCCAGTGGTCAGACAATGTCTCATGCCGCACTGTAAGTAGTGATTTATAATGGATACCTGACAATGAATGGTGATGTCGTTGTGTTCGGTTCTTCATAGATCGCTATGAAGGTCGGAGTGAGGACGCGTGGCTGTAATGGACTGACCTACACACTGGACTACACCAAGGAAAAAGACAAATCTGATGAGGAAGTACTGCAAGATGGTGAGCCTTATCTCATTGTTTTGCTATCCTTGTAATAAAATGTAAAAGTTGGGTTCAGGAAGCCTGGCAGAACAAAGATCTAATACATTAAACTCTCTTTCTTTTTTTACAATGAATTACAGCATAAATTGCTTTTTGCCACCGTAGGTTTTTTTTATACTAAAACTAGGTTTGCTGAAGATGGAAATGTTCAAATTAGGGCTGTCAAAGGCAATGTCTGTAAGTCGTTTTATTGCCGCTGTATTGTTTGACTCATTGGCATGGGCAGAGGAGAATGAGTTAACATGAGCTGTTGTTGCCATGGTGAAACATGATGAGGCTTTCAAGGTCTACAGTCAAACAAAAAAAGAGTACTAAGCATAGGTACATCTTAAAATGATGTGTTCTAACGTAATAATATAAAATGTAGTTTTTGGAGGAACTTGAATATGTACAGTTGTGTGAGGGAGATGTTTTTTAATGAAATCAAATATTAAAATGAATATACACTCATTTATTTGGTATTAAACAGGGGATTGAGACATTTGGAGTTTCACTAGAATAATTTTTTATTTTAATTAATTTACAGACCTATTTCCATTCATAGAGGTTTTATTTCAAATTGTGCTTTTTGAATTTTAAGGTTTGTTTTACTGATGGGAACGTGTCATACTCAGTCTACATACTAGACTGTGATATTATGTTAATGTCTGTTTCCTTTTATCTTGTCTTAAATATCATGGTATTGTAACGTCGTATGGTATACTACATTTAGGTAAGCAGTTGCGAGTGGTGACGGCTGTACTGTGCTTCTCTTGCAGGTGTTAGGGTGTTCATAGAGAAGAAGGCTCAGCTGACCCTTCTGGGCACTGAGATGGACTATGTGGAGTCCAAGCTGTCCAGTGAATTTGTCTTCAACAATCCCAACATAAAGGGCATGTGTGGCTGTGGAGAGAGCTTCAACATATGAGCGTGGTGGAGCTCCTGCACCCTGTCCTGCCTATAAAGACTGAGACACTGAATGTTGGCGAGGAAGTGGGACATGAGGACATCTGAGATGTGGACGTGCCTGCGCTCCTCCTATACCGCTCTGACTGCAGACGACTCGTATACACACACACATTTGAGGAGGCCAAGTATTGCATAATAATGCTTAGAGGAGGTTTTTAATACCATCTGTGTAGTTGTCTAAACTATCTTGACTTGTTGATTTTAGGTTCAGATACCTCTCTTTTTTCGCTTGGCTCTGAGTCTAAAAAAAAACCGTAAGACCTCAATAGCAGGACTTTTTTTAATTAAAAGTGATTTGCTACAATTTAAAACGTTCATGCTGTAAGACAGTGTTCTATCACCCAGTGGCAAGTTAGCAGCAGTATGCAAAAGTGGAAAAGCTTTTATGAGTTTGTAAAGTGTATATTTATATCTCTGTGTAAATATAAATAATGTATCTCCCTTGAACCACGCACACAAGTAAAAAATCACGCACAAATGACATTATTCCCTCATATATGAGGTTTATGTTGGTTTCTTCATTATTTGAGCAAAGCCAGGACTTTGTGTTTGCACTGTGCAATATGTCTCTGTACATATGTGATAATAAATAGCTAAATACAGTCATGTGAAATTGTGTGGCCACTGTTTTTAAGTTTTAAAGCAGATTTTTAGCTAACTCAAAACAACATTTGAGATCATTATATGAGATTATACTCTATTCTTTAGATGATACATTAAAAAAGGGGGTAGCATATGGACATAATGTGAACTGTGACAAATAAAAAAGTTAAAATCACATTTCTTTAAAAAGAATCTCGTAGCGTATTATATTAACGATACATTTGTTATTTTTCATTATTCAGATGAACTGTTAATTGGGAGCTTAGCTTGTTAATGTGAAATGTAACAAGTAAAATAATCCTTATTTTAATTAGTAGTTATTTAACTTTAAATATTTATTCTGGTATTAACAACGGTAGATTCCTGCGATGGTTATGTGTTTTTGTTCCATATAATAGTTTTTTGGGGAGAAAATGTGGATAAAGAATATTTTTGCTGCTGAAAATACCCTTTGATTACTTTAAAACAACTTTTCAGGTTATTTTGTTCAATTATATGTAGGCTAGTCTTTCTAATAAAAAAATGTGGTATGATGCGCAAAAAATATCCTGCAACATTTCATTCTTTTGTTTATTTTAAATTGAAGGTAACGTTCACATCCATGAAATCTAGTTTTTCCATGCCACATTTACCTCTTTACGAGTTCCTTTTTTAAATTATGGCATTTACTTTTGCAAATTTAGTTTATTTATTTATATAAAGAGAGATTGTTGGATGAAGAGACAGGGTGACTTTTGAGTTTGTGCCAGAAAAAACGTAATCATTGGAGAAACCAGGCCAGTTGTCATGGAGATGGCTCAGTTGTTATGGTGAGAGCACAAGTGTTGGAACCAAATTGAAATGTCAACAGGGAAGTAACTAAGGACAAGCAGGTATCATGGTTTTCAAATATATATGTTAATAACCCATATTTTAGGGTGTTCATCTTACTGAAGTAACATGTGGCTGCTCTGTTCGATGTTTGAAGGTCCTTCGGGGTCATGGACAATCAAAACAAGGATGGAGATCTGCTGGACAACAGAGAGCATAATGAGCTCAAGGTAGTTAACAAATGAACACAGTATTTATTGTTATATTATAATTTTGCCACAGTTTCAAGGTGAACTCTAAAATGTAGTTTAGGCAAGGCAAGGCAAGTTTATTTATATAGCACTTTCCAACACAAGGCAATTCAAAGTGCTTTACAAAAAATGAAAGAGATTAAGAAAATGGCATTTAAAATCAGTCATTAAAAAGAAAAGCTAATAAAATAAACATTAAAAGAAAAAATACATGGATAAAAGTTACAGTGCAGTGTTTAGAGAGATATCATCAATTAGAGTAAAGAAGGATGTGCAGATTGATTAAAAAAAACACATCAACTGTTATACTGTTGTGTTGGCTTAAGTTATCTAGAAAATAACATAATTATTAGGTTTGCTTTTTCCACTTAAGGACTGCTGAACAGGCTGTGAATGAAACTTTGACATGTGTTAAGACGGAGATGTTAGTTACCTATTTAAAGCTGCATCCAAGTAATATTAGCATTCATGTAAAGTTTAAAGATAGAGAAGCACTCTCCATCTGATGCTTGGCATTCCAGTTATCTATTTAAATGTATCACTATCATTGGTCTCTACCAACTCCTACGGGACACGTACAGCTCTATCTAGCAGATAAAAGCTCCAGCATGTTCACTAACTTTGTTTTAGTGATAAGAGGTGGTTTCCAGAACCTTGTATTCAGAAACTAAACCAGCTGCTTGCAGAAATTGCGCTCATAAAAAGGTGAAAGTGAACCAAAAGAGTAAAGCTGCAGCCGGAGAATCAAAACAACTCAAAGACGTTCAAGATCTTGAGACTGGGAGTGCACAGTCGGTAATAGTCCTATGTTGTCACTACAACGGACCCCTTTTACTTTACATTACATATATTTAGATTTGTGCAATTTGAGCAATGAAGTCCAATATGTTGACAAAGACAATAAGATCAAGTTTGCTTTTTAAAAAACACACACACAACCACCCTCTGTGGGAACTATGATGTATGAATTACAGTAGAAAAGTCGCTGGAGGTTGATGTGCTTTAGAAGAATGTTACTAAATATTTCATCTCTGTCAGATTTCTGTGAAACTCCCCCTCTACCTGTGTCTGCTATTCTCTCAGATTTCAGAGTTATTAGCGGCTTTGGCTGTGAGGAGATCTCCATCTTTTGACCCCCGAAACATCAGCACCTCCCTCTCCACCCTGACAAACACAGGGGCAGGCCCTTCTAAAACCAATGGGACCTTTAGATCCAGAGCCACCCTCCCTGAAAACATCAGGCAGCTGTCGAGGCGGCAGTTTAAGAGGCGGGACTTCCTGAAAGAGAGTTTACCAATCCCTCTTCCTGCGCCCATCAGCACTGCAGTGGCCTCTTCTCAGGAGGAGCATCTGCAGCCCAGTTTACCATCCTCGACATGTGTCTTTCCTGCTCCCCTGGTAGAAAAGAGGCTGCCCTCTGACTCTGTCGGCTCTATTGGAGAGCGACTTGAAGAGCGAGAGATGCATCCACACATCCTCGGGGTGCAGGCTCGGACCAGGAGGACACTGCCTGAACAGAATCCCCAATCCGGTCAATAATAATCGTAACATTCATAAATACACATAGATATTCTGAAGACAGACCATTTTCCTGGGGTTGCATAATGATAATAATGTCATGATCATGGCAAACAAAGCTACTACAATATGGAGCAAATGCAATTCAAACAATGACCATGTTTTAGTGCATAGACCATTGAGTAGATCATTTGTAGATCCTTCTATAACTATTGTCATGTTGATCCTGATCCAGGGCCGACCAGTGCATGGTTCTTTGAGGACTTGACAGACCTCCAGAGGAAACTGTTTTCAGGTGCCTCAAAGAAGTCTGGAGCCACAAGGAACTTTGCAGCAGCTGGGAAAAAGGCTTGCGACGACTAATCCAAACCAACAGAAACGATAAACTCAAACTGGAACCAGAAGAGATAGTTTGTCTGTTGTTTTAACTTTTTGACATAGCACTTACAAAGTCAAAAAAATATGTTACACATTTGTTGTAACATTCAGTTTCCCAAACCTTTTTTTGATTTTTTTTGTTTTTGTTTTACCAAAGGGAAAGAATAGGTAGGAGCAACTGTACTCAGAAGCCCTGGATGACAATGCAGCTCTCAACACATTTAACCTAAATATATATTTGTTCATGCATAGACAGGTTCTCTAAAGTACATGTTTTATATGTTTGAAGGCCAGAACTATACATCAAAAAACAACTTCCAAAACAACAAACTGTAAACATTGAATTTAACACTTTTTATCTCCACTTGTACCACTGTGTAATTGGCACTTGCTACTCTGCAGCAAATCTCATGAAGGATGTAATGACAGCTATAAAAACGGGTTGTTGTTGTTGTGGCGTCTGGCGGTCACCACAGCCTCCAGCTGACTGATTCATGCTCATGTTGGTTTGCAGGTAAGTACCTATTTTTATGATTTCCCTGTTTGAACCACTATGGTTCAGTATTGATGAAATTAATTGCGAAGGTACGGGAACCTCTAGGCTGTACTTTTAGTAGATTGACATATGCACATTTAAAGAGGAAGTGGAAGGCAAAGGAAATAATTATTCAGACAGACTTTAACTGGAAAAGAGTTAAGGATAAACTGGGTCTTTTGTGACGTCAATGTTGAACATTACACTATTTTACTGTTCAGCTGCAGACACATTGCAACTTCTGGATGCTCAGAGGATTCCAATCTAGCTGCAGTCATTTTACAGGGCACCGGGCCCTGGGCAATTACAGCTAATTAAGGAGATTAGGTTTAAAAGCTACCTCAGTCGCTTTTTCTTTTGCTCTCACATAAACACTCTCAGAGCCAAATGTCCCCTGTCTCATCCAAACACCCCCCCCCCCCCCCTCTCCCCATATATGGTGGGGGGTTACAGTGCTTTCATCTCAGACCTGCAGTGAACAGAAGAGCAGCGCATCACTGACCAGCGCGGGACAAAAGCTTTGTATAGCGGAGAGAGGAACACTGTGGAAGCAAACAGCACAGGTAAGAGAAGCATTTCAGAAAAAGCATAACATGTCTTTATAATTTGATGTCATCATCTTTTAGTTACATTTGCTTAGATTATAATAATAACATCAGCCCAGATTTGACCACATTTAAATATTGTCTGTACCACAGATCTCCACCTGGCTGTGCTTTGTGAAGATGACATTGGGAGACTGTGAGTCTGTGTGCAACGAGTCTGCAGCTCTGGAGGGCCAGGGGCCCCCGGTGCTGGTGGACGCCTGGCTGGTCCCCACTTTCTTCAGCCTCATCATGCTGGTGGGCTTGGTCGGGAACTCGCTGGTCATCCATGTGGTCACCAAGCACCAGCAGATGAAGACCGTCACCAACTTTTACATAGGTAACATTTTGTATGCGCATAGCAGCTCTTTTCTTGTCTTTTCAGTGTCAAGTGAAAGAAATGTGGGAGAGAGATGCCCAACACTATAGATTGTGTACAAAAAGGAAATCTAAACCGAACAAAAGATAACTAAAGAGATGAGGGGACTCTTTCTGCAAGGCAGTAATGTAATGCACATGTAAGGCGCCTTCTAGTTTTCTTTTAAATAAGCAAAGGTTTTATTCATAATCAGTTTTACTCACCAAAACTGTGAATGTTTAAGGTCCGACAAACGCATTTTCCTCCTCGTAAGATTTGCAATACTGATTTTTTTTTTAGGTACTTTCAATTTAAAAGTGGTATTCTTCTGTCCTGCCTGGTTGTACAATACTTTCATGTTAGTACAATATTATAATGCTCCATCCGTTCATCGCTGTGACCTACTCACAGAAAAGCGTTCCACAGTCTTTCTAAAAGATCAAACACTCCACAGGGAACCGTAAAGCTCTCAGTTAGTTTAGTTTAGTCTGTTTATAAAATTCATTGTTAAAGTGTATTACTTTATACCTTTATCAATAAAAGCAGCAAACTGCTGAACACAGGCGCGTTGGGGAACTTTTGAAAGAGTGCATTTCTACTTGACATGTCTTGAATTAAATGTCTCTGTTTGGGCTATTCTCCTCCTCTTCCAGTAAACCTAGCCACAAGCGATATCTTGTTTCTGGTGTGCTGCGTACCCTTCACTGCCACACTGTACCCACTGCCCAGCTGGATCTTTGGAGAGTTTATGTGCCGACTGGTAAACTACCTGCAGCAAGTGAGAGATATGCACAAATAAACACACAAACTCAAACAGTTCTGGAACCTCTGGAGAACATTACTTCTATTATCAAGGCATAACAACCGATTATATCCCATGTTGACATTCTATTATGTGCAAAATAACAATTTTAGATGTTAAGTTACATAAACTATGCGACTCAACCTAGATACAAAACATAAAACCTACTTGAAAATGAAAAAGGGGAAAAGTGTTTGTGTCCTTGAAACAAATCTTCCCTGTGACCTTCATGTTTCAGGTGACTGCTCAGGCCACATGTATCACTCTGTCAGCCATGAGTGTGGACCGCTGCTACGTGACCGTCTACCCTCTGCAGTCGCTGCAACACCGCACGCCTCGCATGGCCCTCACCATCTCTATGTCTATCTGGATAGGTATCACTCAAACAAACACATTATACACACAATGGCAATGGGAGAGTCAGATCAGCTAACGGTGTACTCTGTTTACCTTCTAATCACTCTTATTATTATTTATTCAAATCAAAATCAAATCAAGTTTTATTTATATAGCACATTTTTAAACAATTTTTGGTCGAGCCAAAGTGCTGTACATATAATACAAAAATAACCTACAGCAAATACAACCGCACAGTTTGTGCAGCATATCAGTATGTCCTTAGACCCTCACATCGTACAAGGAAAAACGTCCGGAGAAAACCCCACAGTTTATTCACTGTATTAAACTTAAGTCGAAGTATTGAAGCAGCTGAGCTTGCTGCCTTTGCTGTTGTGTTAAAAATGAAAAAATCATGAAACAAACATTTAATGCAGACTGGAGTAAACATTCTTTCTGCAATTTATTTGGGATTATTGTTCAGAATATATTTATTTTTGAATAGCCTCTCTTTCTTTTGGGTTTTTAGGCCTTGCTGTCATGTCGACATTGATTGACTGACTGTAATGCGTAAGTGTATAAAAGGATTGAAACGTTTTTAACTTAGGTTTAATTGTTATCAACATCTTGTCAGCTTAATATCTTCTTAATGAAATAAGACATTTTAAAATAACTACAAAGTCACACATAACAATTGGGGATTTTCCATTTCCTTCCTTTTGTTGAAAGCCCTTTTTAAAACAGTGCCCAATGACAGCTTCTAAGATGGTTTTGTGTAACAACAGGTTAAGCTTATAGTGGCAGTAATGGAACTTTTTATGAACACCATGATGAGTCACACTGTCCTGTCCTCTGTCCTCCCCAGGCTCTTTGCTCCTGTCGATCCCTGTCGCTGTGTACCAGCGTCTGGAGGCAGGATACTGGTTTGGCCCTCAGACGTACTGCAGTGAGGTCTTCCCCTCTGCTAGCCTCCAGAGAGCCTTCATCATCTACAGCTTCCTGGCCGTCTACCTTCTACCCTTGCTCACCATCACCGCCTGTTACGCCTTCATGCTAAAGCGCATGGGGCAAGCCAGCGTGAATCCCATCGACAGCAGCTACCAAGTAAGAGAAAGATATAGGAATTACTTTCTTATTTAATCCACAAAATACAGATTGTGATACAAATAATTACAAAGCCTCTCTAACGCCAGCTCCAGGCTCATGCAGAGCGAGCAGCAGCCGTACGGGCGCGCATCTCCCGGATGGTGGTGGTGATGGTAGCTCTCTTCCTCATCTGCTGGGGCCCCATCCAGGTCTGCATCCTCCTGCAAGCTTTTGGCCTCCGCAGTTATCTTCTATACAAGGTGACACATTTTGTATTCATATTTTGGGACTTATTATATATGCACAGATAATCCAAAATGGTGCAGTCATATTTAACCCCTCATTGTGCAACCTGGATTTGAAAATGCAAATGATGAAAATAAATGTAATCCTAATCTTTGGCCACAGGGCAGAAGCGAATACATATTTTACTTAAGTGTATTGCTAAAATGCAAAACTATACTAGGATCCCAAGTTCCTTAAATTGAAATGCCTTATAATCTGTGTTCCACTTTCTCTGCCTCTCCATTTTCTTGTTACCTCGCTCACCTCAAACTGTCTTCAAAGTCATGTTTGTGTGCCATTCTCAAATTATGATATAGTCTATTATAATTTGGTTTAATCCTTTTTTTGTTGTTGCTCGAAACAACAGGCTGAATCAAACCTTTTAGTGGTACACTTTTGGCCAGCTGGCCCCACTTTGGGCAGCCTTGATCTATAATGTTCCAATGTTCTTTGAAAGGTAGTGAGAATCAATCTGAGTTGAGCAGTTCCAGGTAGTGACAGTGAATGACAAGACTTTAGGGACAGAAATGGATGCTTGTCTTGGTTCTAAAACGGCCACAGATTGATTGTCTTTTATCTCAGTCAGTCTCAATTCTGCATCCACAGCTGAAGATTTGGGGTCACTGCATGTCTTACTCCAACTCCTCCGTCAACCCGCTCGTTTACGCCTTCATGGGCAACAACTTCAGGAAGGCCTTCAAGCACGCCTTCCCTGCTGTATTTCTGTGGCGCACAAGGGGGAGAGTCAGGGTGGAAAACATGGACACAGAGGACGGGGGAGACAAGGGTCGCCAGGCACCCAAAGGAGGAGCAGAGCTGAACTTTCTTTCATCTGTGTCCTAAAGGTCACACTGTGCCCTCATTGTTTATTTATAGTTTGTTCTGGAGATGAGAGCACCCTGGATGTACACTGGTCATCCTGACTCAATGTGGGCTTCATATAGAAAATACTAACAACACAAGTAAGTAACAGGTTTAAACCAACACATCCAAACCATAGTAACTGCCATGTGATCTCTTCGTAGGAGCAGAGCAGTCAGGAGCCTATTGTGACTTCCACACGCTGCTGAAACACGTCACACGTTTCTAGTTTCCAATTTATTTTATTGAAGGTCAACGTGTTTGTGCTCTGGGCTTTTTTGTCTTTACATTATTTCATGGAGATAACTGTCCTTTATGGACAGCAGCCTTGTTGAATATAATGATTTAGTAATGTAAGAAGAACCTGGGATAAACACTATGCTTTGCCTGCTCAAGTTCTGCTTGGTCTTTTGTGTTTCTTTAACTTGGTTTCACTGCACTACGATGTATATTAGGTATTAGGTATATATTTGGGACCATCAGTTGAGCTTTACCTTTCTATCTGTAAGTACTTCAACAGGCTTTTAAGTATGGATATACACTTTTCATAAAGTAAATAATAAAACAATTATATTAAGAGTTGGTATGTTTTGGGATTTTTTGTTTTGTTAAATTCAGTGTTGCTGACTCTGGCAAGTTAACTGGATTGCCAAACATGAAGCTGAGATTTTCTTTATGAGATTGTTCTGCTCCTCTGATATCCGCTGTACCCATCAAATATTTGTCTCCTTTATCTCCTTTTCTTACTAAACATGCAACCTGTGTCTTTACAGAAACACTTTGAACAACACTGATTTTGAAATGATGATTTTGTATTTACTACTTTACTTTTAATTACTTGTAAGAGAAAGGACAATGTCAGAGTTAGGATGTAATGCATTTCTTCCAGTGTTAAGTATAGGTTGGTAGCCTACAAAGGAATTATTTCAGAAATAGCTCGCTTAAAACTGTTCATTTTACACGATGGCATCCATAGACATGAACACAATTAAAAAAGAAAAACAATGCAAGGCTACATCTGCTACAGAGTTTCATTCACTCATTAAAGTTTACATTTATTTGAATTAACCGTTTCTAAGGACAGTTGTTTGTCTGTCTGTCACGTGCGTGTCAGGCGCGCGCCCACATTGTTGTGGCGTTACAGTGGAGCCAATCAGTCCAGATCTAAATCGATATTAACCAATGACAGCCGTTTACCAAACAGACATGTGACACCAGCCAATAGGATGGCTGTCTGAAAATGTGGGATCCTTGTGCTGCCTTCAGGAAATGCCGATGTTGGTAGTATTTCCACTGCGTGCTCATGAATGAATAAAACACTACGAAGCAAACTATTACAAGCCTGGTTTATCAACGGGGTAAAACTGGGTTAAAGGGTAGTTTTCTTAAAACAAAAGGCAGGTGCCATAAACAGTGTAACAGGTTTTCCTAGCTGTAACCATTCCTCCTGTCCTCCTGTCCTGTACACATCACACATTAACCCTTCATGGTTTGCATTCAATGGAAGTGAGGGGGGACAAAATACAAAGTGTTGTTTTGTGTATAAGGTTATTCCACAGTTCATTTGAATAAACTATGAGGCTTCAGCAGTCTGGGTAAGACAAATCAAGTTGACGTCTTCAAAAGTTGCATTCTGCAGTTTTCACTGGCTATGTTCATTCCTCGATCACTATTGTTTACGAGGATGACTTGAACGCAGCATTTTACACACAGTTAAATCATTGCCAACGAGTGCAGGAGGAGAGCAGAAGTAACTGAGGCTGAGGGGAAATCATTCACTGATCATCGCTGAACCAAACTGAGCAAGCATCCACCAATAAACATTGTTTTACATCATGGAGCAGAAACAAACCATCAACTTTGGCGCCGGACCTGCAAAACTCCCCCAATCCGTAAGTTAAAATCCTCACTTTTATTAGTCTAATAAAAACGTTGCATAAGACGAGAAAACTTGTAATGCAATGCAACATGAAAACTCAGCATGTACATATTTAACTGTGAATCTGTCGGCCAGTTTTTTTCCTTGCAATGAGAGGCTTGCAAGCAGTCATGTGAGATCATGTGTGTTGGCTGACAGTGCTGCTGTCTGCAGCTCCAACAGGCTACAATGAAAATTGTGTGTGGAGTTGCATCAGCCTCGTTCATTGATGTGGAAAACAGCTCCTTTGTGCTTCATGACAAGAGCAGATGCATCCCATAGATGGCAGAAAAACATCTTAGATGTTAGAAATAAATCCCACTTTTCAGATGCTATAACAAAAGCAATCTTCTGTGTTTTATTATCCTAGTTAGAGTAGCAGTCACAGGCTCCTACTGCTTAATTCATTCCTGATTCAGTCTCATTCACATCTGTGAAGTTGGCATTGTCATTTGTATGTTTAGTTCCTAGCATGAAATACAATATTTGAAGAAATCAATATATATTTAAGCAAGTCTTGCTGTAACTACACTTAAAACAAATCACATGCAATCTGCATAACTATTTGGAGCATTATGAATAGAGGGAGCAATAGATTTGAATGTTTAGGAAAGAAAATACAGAACATCTTCAGCTGAGAGCTGTTAGGGTTGCAACATTCCGGGAATTTTCAAAGATGGAAACTTTCCATGGGAATTAACGGGAATTTATGGGAATAAACTGGGAATTTTCCAAATTGAAGGTTGGCTCTTCATAGGGAACTTAAATATAGTTGGGGAAAGTATATTTTAGCATAATCTTGACGCAAAACAAACAGATGCCATTCAAGTACACTTGAATATCCATGCCATAGAACACTGCTTACTATATGGCTATTGAGACCACACCCCCTACACAGGCACTGTGCATTCCTCCATCACATGCACAGATGATTTCGAGAAGACTGAATCACACTTTTGAGCCCAAAGCACAAGACAAATGAAGCCACATCTTTTTATTTAACATTTTGAATGGGATTTTGTGGGGATTTTTGGATGGGGGGTGCATTTTTGTTCATTTTTTAATGAGTGGGGTTGGGGGGGATGAGTAATATTTAACTCAACATTCCTGTTTTCGTTCTTCAATGACACAAATAATTGTTCAATAAAATAATTAAAACTTGTTCTGTTCTACTTAAAAAAACGTTTAAATGTTGTTGTATAATTTTGCATCGAATATTTCCAAAATTCCCCCGCTTAATTTCCCATGGAAACTTTTCTGGAAATGTTCCGCCCCTTTGCAACCCTAATGGCTGTAGACACTTCTAATTCTTGTTGTTGCTTACACTTTTACTTGTAGACTTTTTTTGTTAATGGTTGTTTTAAGATTTTAAAGAAAAACTGAACACCTTGCTTTATATTGCAGGTGCTGCTTCAAGCACAGAAGGAGTTCCTCAGCTACAGTGGAATGGGTATAAGCGTGCTCGGTGAGTAAAACAAAAAATGTGGTGCATTTCAGTTTTTATGAGGAAATAATTACTGTATTACTCGTGATCAATACATATGTTATTGAAAATCTTAACGCATTAAAAGACTGCTTACAATTTAGCTTTAAAGCATTTTTTTCTGCAATTTAGCTTTTCATACTGATCATTGATAGATCTATTCATAATGGGCCTTCAGTGGAAGTGCTTGGATACAAAATCCACAGTTGGCTCTGTGTTCAAAAAGGTTCCCATCCGATTGATAGATGTTCTCCACATTTAAATGTTATTATAGAATCTATATATTATAGAAAAAATGTGCATTAAAGGTTAGTACATTTAAATGTTTTTGATTCTGTTGTTACAGAGATGAGTCACCGATCTGCGGATTTTAACAACATCCTCACCAAAACAGAGAGTCTCTTGCGGGAGTTGTTGTAAGTGCTGCTTTTGTTGTTTCACATGGCATCTACTGTATTACCTATCTTTTTACTTCCTGCTTACTTTACTTTCAATATTCACAATATGTATTTGTAACATACTTTGTGGCTGCGTCATACCTAGGAATTTTGTGGTGACTTATTTTTAATACATTACATTACATTACATTGCATTTAGTTGACGCTTTTATCCAAAGCGACTTACAATAAGTGCGTTCGACCAACAAAATACAAACTTGAAGAAAACAGAATCATATAAGTACATCAGGTTTCATAGAGCCAAACATTTCAAGTGCTACTCAACTGGCTTTAGATAAGCCAGTCCTTTATTAGTATAAAAGTGCTTCGTTAATAGTTCTATCGCTCGAAGTGGAGTTGAAAGAGATGAGTTTTCAGTTTGCGCCGGAAGATGTGCAAGCTATCTGCCGTCCTGATGTCAATGGGGAGCTCATTCCACCATCCTGGAGCCAGGACAGCAAACCCACGTGTTTTCGCCGATGGGAACTTGGGTCCCCCTCGCAGCGAGTCGTTTGGCTGATGCAGAGCGTAGTGCACGCGCTGGGGTGTACGGTTTAACCATGTCCTGGATGTACGAAGGGCCGATCCATTCGCAGCATGGTAAGCAAGTACCAGTGTCTTGAAGTGGATTCTAGCAGTTACCGGAAGCCAGTGAAGGGAGCGGAGGAGCGGAGTGGTGTGGGAACATTTAGGAAGGTTGAAGACTAGACGAGCCGCTGCATTCTGGATGAGCTGCAGAGGTCGGATGGCACATGCAGGTAGACCAGCCAGGAGGGAGTTGCAGTAGTCTAGGCGTGAGATGACGAGAGCCTGGACCAGAACCTGAGTCGCTTTCTGTGTCAGCTGGGGACGTATCTTCCTGATGTTGTAAAGTGTGTATCTGCAGCAACGGGTTGTAGCAGCGATGTTTGCAGTGAAGGACAGATTGTTTATCTAGGGTCACACCCAGATTCCTTGCAGTCTGAGTCGGGGAAACAACTGGGGTGCCGATGTTGATTGTTAGGTCAAGAGTGGGACAATCTTTTCCCGGAAGGAAGAGCAGTTCAGTCTTGTCAAGGTTGAGCTTGAGGTGATGAGCAGACATCCACTGAGAGATGTCAGCCAGACAAGCAGAGATGCGTGCGACGACCTGGGTCTCTGAGCGGGGAAAGGACAGAATTAATTGGGTGTCGTCAGCGTAGCAGTGGTAAGAAAAACCATGCGGGCTAATGACTGATCCGAGCGAGTTTGTGTACAAGGAGAAGAGGAGGGGACCAAGAACAGAGCCCTGAGGGACCCCTGTAGTTAATTGACAAGGGTCGGACTCAGACCCTCTCCAAGTCACCCTGTAGGTACGGTCTTTCAGGTATGAGGTGAGGAGGGAAAGTGCAGAGCCTGAAACTCCAAGTTTTTGGAGAGTGCGAAGGAGGATCTGATGATTCACCGTGTCGAATGCGGCAGACAGGTCCAATAGGATGATGACAGAGGAGAGGGATGCAGTTTTGGCAGTGTGCAGTTCCTCCGTGACAGCAATGAGAGCAGTTTCTGTGGAGTGACCTGCCTTGAAACCAGACTGGTGCGGATCCAGAAGGTTGTTCTGATTGAGATAATAGAGCATCACCAAGGGAAACCGGCACACCCAAAACCTATACAGAAGAATATCAGAGTATATTAATCTAGCATGATAGGCATAATTTATTTGCCACATTAATTATACCGGTTCATTCTCTTTCATGTTCCTTCAAGTCCTTCACTTTGACTGTCTGTTTCTTAGACTACTGATGGCTGCATGCCAAAAAGGGTTTAGGGTTGGGCCGTGCTGCAAACATAGTTTTTGTTGATCAACAGGCATGTTCTCCAAGTAATTGTAACATCAGATTATTCAAGAAGAGTTCAACCTTGCTCTACTTTTTATATTTTGTCAAAAATGTTTGTCATTTTTGTGTTTTTCTCTCTCTACAATTTATGAATTATATTTCAAATGAGTTGTAATCTACTAACATGTATGTACTTTACCACTTGCATTTAGTACACCAGAAAGCTTAACAATGGAAAATGGTGTGCAGCGTTAATAATGTGTCAAATAATGATATACTACTTTGCAAGGGACCAGTATTTAACAAAGTGACCTTTCGTCTACACAGAACCATCCCGGACAACTATAAGGTGTTGTTCCTACAGGGCGGGGGGTCTGGGCAGTTCAGTGCTGTTCCTCTCAACCTGATCGGACTCAAAGAGGACACATGTGCCGATTACCTGGTGACCGGCACATGGTCAGAAAAAGCAGCAAAAGAAGCGGAGAAATACGGGAAAGTCAACATTGTCCACCCGAAGCTGGACAGTTACACGAGTAAGTCTGTGTGAATGTTGTGTTGTTGCTGAGGCAGTCCAATTAGTATTTATTGTCTATACTAACAAAAGAAGAAAACTGCAATGACAAGCAGGTCAAGTAATCAGTAAATCAAGACATCTCTTAGAATACATGACACATTTCAAATTCGTGAATTCATATTTTTTGTTATGTTTAAAGTAAGATTTAATCACCTCATTAAAAAATAGCTTCAGGTCATTGTCATTCATGCTGCATTACGACAGCCCCTCTGCAGAATCTGGCTGTACGCTCAGGCTGTTGCATAATAAACAATAGAGCTATAGACTACCAATGAGACTCTGGTATGCGGGCAGCCTTTTCCACAATGTGGTGTCAACTAGGGTTTACGATGGATTTCTTGTTCTTGCTTGTCAGAATCAGAATACCTCTATTAGTCCCACAGAGGGGAAATTTTTTTTGAAACAGTTTTTGAAAATTAATTTAAATAAACATTCATTCAAATAATTTTTTTACACACATGTTAGGAATTCTGTTCTTACACAGGTCTTCTGTCTGCGTTTTTTTTCCCTTTTAATGGAATGTCTTTATGTAAACTATTAATATCACTGTGTTATTTATCATTGTCCTTGTGCACGCATTAGTCTTTCAAAAGTTCAGTCTCTCACAGAAGACAAGCGTGGCTGCAGACTCCTATCTAGGTTGACTGTGTAAGTCTGGCTAACTATTGTAGTCTGGTTTAACTTTGTTCTGCTTTTCCCCCGCCTCAGAAATCCCCGACCCCAGCAGCTGGACCCTGAACCCCTCAGCCTCCTACGTGTACTACTGTTGCAACGAGACGGTTCACGGCGTGGAGTACAACTTCACCCCCGAAACTAACGGGGTGACCCTTGTCAGCGACATGTCCTCCAACTTCCTGTCCCGACCTGTGGATGTGTCAAAGGTGAGGACAAGAAGGACACCCAATACATTTTTCTCTTCTGCTTCCGGGCCCTTTTCCTCCAAATGTTTATATTAATCTGATTTGTTTGTGAGAAAAATACTGCGTCAATATACTGTAAATTCACCCATTGAAGTCACAATAGGACCTGAGATATACTGATGTTAAAAAGAAAACACTACAAAATAAAAGGTTATAACAGAAAAATGACCAAATGATGACCTGTTAACAGCATGCTAACTTTACATGTCCACTACATAAGAAAGCCCTTTTGACTTGATTATATACACAGCCATATATTTTGCTGATCCATTCAAGTCTGTGGTTATACACAGGCATATTTCAATGTGCTGTCTTGCATTGTGTAGTTTGGGCTGATTTTCGCCGGAGCCCAGAAGAACGTGGGTTGTGCTGGGGTGACTGTGGTGATTGTGCGGGAGGACCTGCTAGGCCACGCTCTGAACGATTGTCCCATTGTGCTGAACTACAAGGTGCAGGCTGACATGAACTCCCTCTACAACACACCGCCATGTTTCAGGTACAGACTCACCTAGGTTTATTGTTAGAAGCTCCCATGTTCAATACAGAGTGAGGGATTTCAATATATTAATGTGAGATATGTAAAATGCTATTTTGAAATAAACATATCCTTGATGCATGTCATTAACTCTCAACAAGAAAGCAAAGTGTATTTCCCCAAATATTCTTTACAGATATTTAATAACATGTCACAATCATCTTGTTGAAAAATGATTCATTACTTAATGTTTTTTGCTTAGCATCTACATCATGGGTCTGGTTCTGGAGTGGATCAAGAACAATGGCGGCAGCGCTGCTATGGAGGCCCTCAACAAGCAGAAGTCCTCCATGATTTACGACATCATCAACGCCTCTAACGGTTTCTATGAGTATGTATCACAAAACTTCAGATACATGTGTTAAAAAGCTAATAAGAAAAAAACATTAACATAATTTGGTATCCTATCGGAACTAAAAACATAATAACAAGAGGAAAACCCTTGAGTCTAGGCTTCTGGACCATACTACAGGTTATTTATATACAATGACTGAAGCAAGAAATCAGATTTCAATGAAATACTTAGAATTTTTTATCACTGTGTGCAGGTGTCCTGTTGATGAAACCTGTCGTAGCCGCATGAATGTACCATTTCACATCGGGAGTAAAGAGGGGGATGAAGGCTTGGAGAAGGAGTTTCTGGCTGGCGCTTCAAAGCGTGGAATGATATCGCTTAAAGGACACAGGTTAGTGAAACAAGCTTCCTGTTGTTGCATTAATGCCTACCTTTTGCTGTATTTTGTGGTTTACTACAGCGAATACTAGTTCCTATAGTTTTCCACAAGAAAGGTATGGTCAAGTTACAAATGAACAACAGCAGTTCGATACCTAATCACATTTCTTGTGATGTAAGGTTTTTAGACTTTTAACATGGCGCTTTGTTCCCCCCTGCAGGTCAGTTGGAGGAATTCGTGCCTCTCTTTACAATGCTGTCACACTGGAGGACGCTGAAGCCCTGGGCACCTATATGAAAGTATTCATGAAAGAGCACTAATAAGTTGGCTATGCTTACATTTAGCTGATATGGCACACAGCAGTACATTACTCCAGTACCTCTGGTTTATCTGTAGTTGAGATCCATGTTGGATCTGGAAGGTGCACCTTTAGACATGTTTTGTATAACCCTTTCGTTGTTAATAACTCCTGTTGCCAGTTATTTGTTAATTCCATTTGTTATTATTTTAATGAACATGTTGCCTAACAGTGCGTTGATGTACATACTTTAGGTAATTCTTGTTACTTCAAATTACTGTTAAAATTGTATTAACATTCCAGTAAATCGAATTTGGCAATACTGACATTTGCAGTGTGAATTCTTGTTTTATGGACCACATTTTGTTATTTCAATAATAATAATGTATATCAAAGAGTGATCTCTTTCTCATTTCTAGTGGCATTTAGCCATGCAAATAGTTACGATTGTTTTTTTTCCCCAGGCTTTTAGATATCAATGTCTGAGATTTCTCCTTCCCAAAACAAAAAAACAATGTGATTAACAGTTTTACATCGTTAGTAGGGGTTACAATAGGATATCTCAAAGATGAATATATCAAAACGTATGCAATTACAACTAAATAATTAAAAAAGGAAAGGTCTAAATGACTTGTTAATCGCTATTATATGATCTGTTGTTTGTCCCATTACCTTTGATTAAACAATTCAATTTAGACAGAATAAGAGTTTGTCAGGAAGAAACCAAACAGTCTATGCAAGAAACACTTTATATTCCCATTTATATTTATCATAATTTTCATTCAGGCTATTTCTTGGGTTTAATAGGCTACTGTATGAACAGCTCACATACATATTCCTTTACACACCAAACTAAAATAGTTATGGAAAATATATGATGTGAAGTGAATGCATCATAGGGTCATAGTGTGTTAATGCTGGTTATCTGTGTTTGTTTGCAGATAGTAAATATATATCCCTCACCTGTTGCCAATTGGCACCAGGTTTTCTTTTGTCATAAAAAATAATGGATATCATTGTTCAGCTGTTCTTTTATGATTTTTATATTTAGTTTACTTTAGTTGTCACATGATTGGGTGTGTCTGACCCAGGAAGGGCATATGATTGTTGGCCGTCGTATTGCGAGTGTGTGAGTACCACATTTTGATTGTTAGATGTACTCTACTTTCACGATGCACACAATTGACAATAAATAGATTGTATTGCTGCACCTGATCACGAGCCTATACCTATTCTCCATTAAAACAACAACACAATATCCACACAGGAGTAGAGTATCACGCGTCAGCCAACTCATTACTGGGAGGTAAAACACCACAGAAGCTTTAGTATTAGGCTAAGACTATTAGAACATTATTGCAAAGATTGTTTGTGGCATAGACTGTGGCTGCCGGTGCAATGGGGCTTATATTGTTTATACACCTGTGTTTGCCGCCTTGATGTTTTATTTATTCTGCTGTTTAAGTGGCAGGTTATTTTTCTTCAAGTAGCCTAATGATTAGTTAATTAATTACTCAGGAATGCATTTCTTGATAATGTATCATCAGTTGTAGGACCCAGACCTTCTAAAAAATGAACAGATCCAAATAAAATATATGCACACAGTTCTACTTCCAGATCAGCACCTCATCACAACTCTTGATGTGCATTTAAAAGTATTTTATATATAGTTTTACTTTTCTCTATGTACATTTTTGTTTTGCTTGTGTAACATTGATTTTAAGTATGCTAACTTTGAGTGTGATACTCTAGTACAGGGGTGGCCAACCAGTCAGAGGTTAAGAGCCACATGTTTTCTATGTTACTGCAAGGAGCCACATCAAACACACAGTCACTGATACCGCTTGTTTTCAGTTTTTTGTTTTCTGGAGACAAGATTTCAACCACGTCACTGATGCATTTTTTGTGGCATTGGGATATATTTTTAAAATCCTCTGGAGCAGAGAGAGGAGCTGTGGATTATTGTTATTGATTAATGCATCAGTGTTTCTTAGGGTCAAAAACACTAAACCCACAAATTAAAATGAAAGCGTTTAGTTTATTTAATAAAAGAGCACATGTTCAATGTGAAAAGTGACAGTAGTTATAGATTATTTGCAATTTGATGCTATATATATTTAAAAAAAAGTATATATATAACACCTTGAATTTCAGGGGGGGCGCGGGGCTCCGTTGGCGGCTCGCAGCGCCCCTCCAAGACAATGGTAGGGGAAACACTGAATAGTGTTTAATCAACAATAGGTTTCCCCCCTCAAAGGTGATTGGTTCACTGCATTGCAGGTATTATTGTGATTGGCTGTTGGGCCACATCAAAATTAGACGCGCTGTCATCCTCTCATACTGACACCTCACACCACACATACACACGTAGGGAGAGCCGGGACGAAAGTAACACGGGACCAAAGTAACGGAGCGATTTTATCCGAGCCCAAACAACTTTGACCGGCCAAATTACGTCAGAATGATCAGCATTCAATACTTAACAGACCTACTAAATATCAGGTTTAACTGTCAGTGTTGTCACGATACCAACATTTTTGGTTTCGATACCAAGTCAAGAATTGCGATTCCGATTATTTTTCTTAAAAAACGGGAAACAGTCTTAAATGTAATTATTGTGCTTTATGTCACACCAGAATCATAACCATAACACAAACTTTTTAAACAATGAGAACAGTAAATACAATAAATGACAAGAATTCGTATTAAATAAAATTAATACATTTCTTACAGACAGGCCTCGTGGTGTCCGTAGGCTTGCCCTCACTGTCAGAGATATAGCTAAATACTTCCAAATTTAGCTTCTGGCATATTTTTTGTCAACAAGCCGAGGCGCAGCGGCAGTTGCACTCCCACTTGCAGCCATGCTTCTCGTTCTTCTCACATGCTCTGGCAGCTAGCGCGTGCACGAGAGAGGGGAGGGATTTAGAGCGTGCTTGAGAGGGGAGGGTGCAGGCACGGCTGCAGTGCAGGGAGTGGAAGCAGAGCGCTGAACACACACGGCTCTTATTAAAACAGCGCTTTCTCACCGGAGAGTACTTTCCCCCGTCATTCTTAAAGTACCGATACTAATGAAACGGAGGAATCGTAACGATTTTAACGACAGGGTATCGCGGTATACCTTTCAAGTATCGGTACACCCGTGCAACACTAGTCAGGAGTCAGTGTCTCTCCCCCAAACTCACACATATACAATTCGATATGAACTGAAGAGCCGCATGAAACTAGGCACCCCTGCTCTAGTAGATCTAATATTTTCATCTCTTTTGTACACACTACACTATTTGATTTAAGTTGTGAAGGGCTTGATCTCTATTATATAAAGGGCAGTAGTTAAACCAAGAGCAGACTGAGAGGGACGTTGCTTCTTATTACATGTAATAATGGTTTTACTGATACACAGGGGCGCCATAAGGGGGTGAAAGTTAGGACGATTCTAAGGGCCCGTGATTGACAGGGGCCCAACAATTTTAGTAACCTTTCATCATTCATCAATAATTAACATTAATAAAACGTTATATTGATAATGTACTCACTAAACTTACGATTAATTTAACTTATTTTCTTCCAAACGTTAATTATCTGTCCTGGTTTTGAGCGGGATTTAAATGTAAATATTTCTTCACTGTCACTTTCACACTATAATAAATAACTGCCTTTGCTTTGCTTTGCCTCACACACAGTGGCGGCGCCAGAGTATTTTTGTTGGGTAAACTATGGTAGGGCTAACCCATACAGTAGTGGGGCTCAAGTCAGTATTTGCAATGTAATTACATACACGCTCCCCTTGACAGTGAAACGCCATGCGTGAGGTTTAGATTATTTCTCTGTCTCAATCCAAATTGAACTATGAAATAATAAGGCACATTTGTCTTGTAGTAAATAAAAAGGGCGACCTGGAGCCAATCCTGCCATTTCCCCACAGGTGAAAGAGTTGACATGCTGAAAACCCAACCCCTGCAGGGGGGTGTGGGGGGATGTTCCCCCAGTAGATTTTTTGAAATACTAACATAAAATACACATTCTGATACTCTCTTGAGAAGAAAAATAAATACATCTATTACTACCATAGACTGTATAAATGGACGTAGGGTCCGTGACGTCATCCATAGGATTCTGCAGAGTTGCCGAGAAGCCCTTAGTAGGCGGAGTCGGCCACTAACGGCTCGACAGTGACGTCAGAGTTCAACTCCCGCCTGCTCCAAATAAGGGCAAAGAAGCGGAGCCGAGGCGGGACCTGCTGCCACCGAGCTGGAAGTTCCAGAGCTAGCTGAAGCTACCAAGCTAAGCTAACATGCTCCCCATCTGCACACTGCCGTCGCATTTTACGTTTCTAAGGTAAGCGGACATGAAACTATTCAGCAAAACTATAAATAATAATCTAAGTTATTGAGTTTTTAGCATAATACTTCAGAATCTTAAAACCCCTTAACGTTTGCATGCAATTGTGCTAAATGCAACACTGGAATCAAGCAAATATTAATATGTTTGCATGACATTAGTTATTTATATTTTGATATCACTTAATTACACGTTTAATACATTTAAGTCAAGCTAAGGTACATGTGATGGTAGCTAGTTAGTGCTCTTACCTGTGATGCCTCCTCCAAACAGCATAATAACCAGACTGTATCATTAAAACTAAGTACCAGTTCTAGATCCTTGACTTTAGACCAGGGGTGGGGAACCTTTTTCCTCTCAAGGGCCATTTCAATTTTTTCAACATCCTCCGAGGGCCGTAAAAATGATTGACCTCTGCTTAAAAAATAATAAAATCACAGCCCATTCATTTGGCCTTTCTTTCATGCTGTGCAAAGAAAAAGCAACCTCTTAATCCAGATATTTTACCATGACTCGCGCATGCATGCACGTGCACGGTTATGGCATGACCACCAAAACAGAAAGATATGGACACAAGATGTGGGCAAATGTATTTAGTTCTCATTCATAACACTCCGTTCGATGTCTCACTATGGGATGCGCCTCATCGCGGAGCAAACAGAAGCATCAATCTCATTACGCCAATCCTGATTGGTTGGTGATCTTGACGTCAGCGTCAGGGAATTCACCCCTATAAGTAGCTTGCGCCCACGACGCATGCGTCATTCAAAACACCTCTTCTCGCTCAGAGCACATCTCTATAGTAGCCGGACAAGCTTAACGGTCCACAGACTGAACCCAAATATAACCATGTTCGGTCGCCGGGCGCTCGCCGGCTTACTCCTTCTGCTTCGCAAGAAGACGGTAATACTAACGCCATTTAGTATTAAAATCGACCTCGCCGTTTCTTTCCCCGGAAAGTAAGGTAAGGTTTTGATTTTTTC